TATACACCGAACTGCGGTTTGATACATTTCTCATTCATAAAAATGACTACACTTCTAAGTTGCTCTGGTGGCTTATTTCCGGACCATTGACAATGGGCACGCGCGCGTACACAGGCTTTTAGTTTGCATTACGGTATTGGGCTCTTCCTTCCTTTCCTTTAGATTTTGGATATCATCAGATTTTGACTGCCCCCCCCAAAAAAAAAAAAAATATTTCCTTGCCCCTAATTCCCCCTCTCCATTAAAAAATATGTCACAAACAGTTCACAACCTCATTGAAACACCCAACATATTTGCAGTGACTGGCCACCACCCAAAAACTACAAGGAAAACAAACAGATTTGCAAATGACTGGCCACCACCAAAAACCTACAAGGAAACCAAACAGATTTGCAACATTTGACTGGCCACCACTTAGATTGTATTGTACTCAAGTGGTGTCATGTTGTGGCTGTCTTTCAGTTCATCAGTTGACAAATAAGGGAGAAAATACTACTTCTTTTTACAACAGCACTAATTTCCTAGATGAAATTCGGAGACAGCTAAATATTTTGAATTCTCCCCCAAAACTACAAGGAAACCAAACAGGTTTGCAATGACTGGCCACCACTTAGATTGTATTGTTCTCAAGTGGTGTCAGGTTGTGGCAGTCTTTTTGTTCAGTTGCTAGATAAGGAAGAAAATACCCCTTTTTTACAACAGCATTAATTCCCCCCCCCCCCCCCCGAATTCGAAAATTGAATGGTTTAGAATAGGGACATAAAATTATAGCCCCATAACTTGGGACCAGGGAACCTTACTGCCTCTGAATGTGCACTGATGAGCCTCATTTCCACATTGAAAAGAAATGTGAAGTTTTTAAATTTAAGTTGAATTTTATTATTTGTAACATTTTGGGAGTTTCTGAACAATAAATTGGCTGGTCTCTAGTTGATGTTTGATTAGGTACAGATTGCAAAATGTTTTGTGTGAACTTCCTAGATGAAATTTGGACACAGCTAAATATCTCAAATTCTCCACAAAAACTACAAGAAACCCAGACATCTAGAAATGCCCTACTTATATTTCCTTGGTTTGTTAATACCAGGCAAGTGTGCTTGGAAACCAGTTGCAAAACAGTGTATACTTGAAAGCAAACACAAACAAAAACTTTTCCACCAGGTATTGTTTTACTTGGCTGTGGGACTTAGTATACAGATCGAGGCAGCCTAGTATCTGAGCCAAATGCAGACTGGGAGCTTGAGTGCAGAAAAACATGCGAAACAAATCAGGCCAACTTCACTCACTCTTTAGCTGACAAAAGTCTCCAACATTTTTTATGTCAGGCAAAGACAGGCTGAATATTCAGAACCAGTGCTGTTGTCAAGTACAGAAACAATCCATCACATTTCTTTAAACTGAGATGACAGTGGAACTTAGTATACAGATCAAGGCAGCCTAGTATTTAGGCAATATGCAAACTGGGACCTTGAGTGCAGAAAAACATACCAAACAAAATTAGGCCATTGCAACTTTACTCAAAAGTCTCCAACATTTTCATGAGGAAAGAAAAGGTCCTCAGAATTTCACCAGCCAAGTTTGAGGTCTCAATTCAATTCGAGAAGACTTTTCTTAAATAATTTGAACCTGAGAGTGAAGCCAAGTGATTTCAATTTGAAGCCTACGACAAGACTAGGACATGTCCATGAGCTGTTTGATAAGATTGACCCTTCAGTAGTCTGGTGGCATGACTATAGAAATGTGTAAAAATAGAGATTGGGTACCACTACCAGATGCTTCTTTTGACAAAAGGTGTTGGACTGGTTGTTTGATGTGCCAGTTTATTTTCTTGCATTGCATGTTTTTACTATCTTAACTTTTGGGACTCTAGATCTCATACACATACTATTGAGAGTCCCAAATGTAGGATGGGGCTATAGAATATACTTATAGAGCATGTATAAAAGAAATATATTCTAGACTTGACCAGAAAACGTGGGGGCTGCCTACTACAGTCACAGTCAGCTTGGTGCAACTTTGTTTTCTAGTCCATACTAGACTAAAGCAAAATTTATTTTATTGTGATCTAACAAGGGTAGTCCATTTCAGTTTAAAGAACTGCTCAGAGAGCCCTCATATAAAAATGAAATGGAAATAAAATGAAACGAAATTATAGGCCTAATTTAAATAGTAGACAAAACATACAACATGTATGTATTCAACATGTATACACGCACATATGTACACATAAAAATCCGCTTATAGAAAATAAATGAAGCTTTATGTTGCTATACATCACATGAAGTACCCCAATATAAGACCAAGTAGAACAAATCACGTTAGGATAAAATTCTGCTTCAAAAAACAATGACTGTAAAATAGAACAGTCCCCCAATTACACCTGCAAAAACAACATGCTCAGATAAACATGTGCGTTGTATAAAATGCAATTGCATTCCTGCAAAAAATTTACATGTCCCAAACATTATACATGTACACCTAGCCAAAATTCACATGTAAACACACTGAGTGTAACCTGCATGTGAATGTTTTAAAATAAAACTGAATTGACAGTTACCCATTACAAATACTAAATGCATAAAACTTTTGTCTTAAAATCAAATTTTGTACAAAATATTTTTCTCCCCATGCAAAAAAAGTTGGAAAGAATGTAGTATCCAGACGCCACAGTTGTGCACAGAGTCTATGCATGGAGAGTCAAGAAAATTGCCTAATTTCCTAACAAAATTTGAAATGATCTCAGTCCCACATTCATGTCTTTTAAAATGTTTGCAATGACTGACCTTTATTGAGTTGATACATGAAAAAAAAGTGGCGTCAGATTGCAACATTCTGTCCAAAAGTTTCTCAAAGAAAGTTTCTTCGGAATGTTAAGTGACACATTAGAATCACAAAGTTTTACTCACCTGTACGAATTAGTGAAGAACTTTTACAAATTCCAAGTGAACTGTTGCAAGTATACTCCACAGAATCTCCTTTTGCCGCTTGAAAAATTATGAAGAATAGCGTTGGTTGATCGGTGAAGAAATAGTCGCGGCCTCCATACCTGCCATTTTTGTCTTTGTACACGACTGTACGCACGGCGTCAGTACGTGGTCCAAGCGTACCCAAAGCGTCCACGAAATGTCAAAAAATACTGCCGGTTTTTCACTTTCGCGGCTTCCATTTGTCAAAGACATACACTCACAATAGTCTATGACTAGTAAATTAGGGTTCAGACACATTGGTGTACCTCAGTCTAGCCAGCGAATGCAGAAATTCCAGGTTCAACTTTTCCAGAAGTTCCCAGCGAAACGCACACCTTTCACATGCCGCCATTGCAATTTCCACGTGGCTTAGACTTTGCTCAAGTCTGGTCTCGTTTTTGTTTGGAGCGGTGTACGTTGCACACACATACAAACAGTTTTTTGGGTACTAATCCAATTTCAATCCAACTTGAGTCAAGACTAAAGTTGTTTTGCGCGGGAATTATAGGTTTTCGAAACCGTGGCTTTGTTCTGGAATCGGATCAAGAAATAACTAGCCACCTTATTTGGAGAAAGGTGGAGGCCACTGGCTCAAACTGAATTCATGTTAAGCTTCTAGAAATTATAATCCTTATTGTATGGCCAATAAGATTAAAATATGTGTGTTTAGTTTTGACATGAAAGGGCCGAAAGGCTTCAACGATTTGGCGAAATCACCCGAGTCGGAAACAAAGCCGGTGTTTCAAAAACACCTTTATTCGTCTGCACGAACGCGGAAATACATGCTATTCTTCCTTTTTGCATATTAAAACAATGCAGGACTACAAAAGTATTACAATTGAATAACAAGTAATTCAAGCGTATTCTCTAATTAAATGAGACATCGAACAACAAAATCGGTCCCGTTTAGTTATTGAATAAATACAGAATAAGTTTTTGCGAATTATTTGTGGCCTATAGTTCTCGCAGCGAAGACAGGTTCCCGCCTCATCAGTATCGATAATGCAGGGACCAGGAACCAGTCTACTCGTGGGGCGCATCTTATTTTGCGCAAAGCCCCCCCCCCCCCCAAAAAAAAGTCCAAGACATAAATTAGAGGGAGTTGGTTAAAATATAATCAAAAACAGTCGACCACAATTCCTCTTCGACTGCAATTAAGGGTCAATACATATCATGTTAAATGTGTTTACAATTATAATATGTTGCGGTCACGTGATGCCCAACTTTCAGCAAATTGTTCTCTTCTGCACTGCATGTGTATCTCATGAAATGTAATTTGTGTGAACGTGGTGATATCAACTGTTTAACGTGGACATAATAACATGCAAAAGATGCTTAAATGTTTTGGTTGCCTGTTGGTTGCCCGTTGGTGTGACGTCACAGGTAACACGGTCTGTATGACCCTGTAGACCATCTCTCCCCCCCCCCCCTTGTAAGGGACCGTGACCATTCAGCCCTGGTATGAAAAGGGCCCCCCGGTACCTCGTGCGGTCCAAAGCCAGTCCGGTCTTCAGCCCATTCTCGTCCGGTACATGGTCCTGTCCTTTGAAGTCAGTCAGGCGCATCAATTTATTGCCCTGCAGAGAACGTCCAGAGCAGCACAATAGCAGACTTACCGGATTAAAGATAAAATCCTTCCATAACGCCTTGGTAATTTACGGTCCCATTGTGCGCGAAACCGCATGGTAGGGCTTTTGATCTGTGCCGACGAAAGTGTTCTATTGTTTCTCGCTGAGAGATGAAAACCACAAGCGGGTTTCTTCTGGGATATATTACATGTGTCAATACTTGCAAACAATAGACCCTAGGATAGAGGAGTTCCTGATTAGCACCCGGACCAGCTCCTGGGCCGGTAGCTGGGACGGTACGAGAGGACTTCTTGGGAGGGGACGAGCTTACCGGGGGGCCCTTTTCATACCGGGGCTGAATGGTCACGGTTCCTAAGTGGTGGTTGCAGAAGCTATGAGTTGAAAAATGAGGCAAACTTTAGCAATTCTTCTTTTTCTATCTTTCAATTGATCGTTATGTCTGCAGCTCGCTTCCGGAAGGAGTTTCAGCGGGCGTTCTCATGCTGTCCCTGCGTGAGCGTGCCGGATCGACGCAAGCGGCCCGGCAGCGCGTCCTACCATCGGTGTCGGGACTTCACCGCGCGCAGCGGCAACAACGGGGTCAGCCAGACCGACTACCGGTCACACGACCACAGCACCGAGTACCTGCAGCTGTCCAAACTCGGCAAGATGAATGGGGCTAATAACAACTCCACCCTGGCAGTCAAAAGTGGCGTACCAACCGTCTGATAAGTCTCGGGGGAAAAATCAATATCCAATAAAGAGCTTCACAGTTCCCTTACAATCACAGTGGACAGGTTCTTATAGTTAAATTTAGTAACAATGAAAATACACATACAAACATGACCTGTGCACTGTGGGGGCGCTCTGTGCATGCTGTCTGTTGCAGTCAGTGTTGTATTATAAATTGGGTCCCATTTGCAACAGGGACACATGCAGACTGGGACCTCGGGTGCCGAAAAACATGCAAAACGCAATCATGCCAACTTTATTCACTCTTTATTTTTAAACGGGAGACTTTCTTCAATGTTTTGCACATGAGAGGGCAGTAAAGTGATTTCAAAATGAGGCTAAAGATTAGCCTTGTACATGGTACAATCATGGTCCAACTGTTAAAAAAGACTGACCTCGTCATTCGCTGTCATTAGTCTGGTGGCTGATTATGGAGAAATGTGTAGAAAAGGAGACTGACATGCCAGATATTTCTTTTGGCACAGTTAATTGATGCAGTACTGAAGGGTTGTTGGACTGTTTCAGGTGCTTGTCTTTTTTTCTTTTATAGCCTGTTTTCAATATCTTAGGGGTTAGTTTTCTGACTCTCATACACATATTGAGAGTCCCAAAAGTTTGGACTAGGGCACATGGAGACCCTAATTTTCTGCAGGGGCACTCAAACGGGTGTGATCATACCAGTATTACAAAAACAACTATAGTTTTGGGGGTATAATACGACTTTTCTTTTTCAAAATAAGAAATAGTGACGTCACTTGTTGCAGCTGGTAATAATTAAAATTTGAACAAATTTGTGAAGAATGCATTGTGGGAAGCTTACTGTGATAATTAGATCCTGAACACATGACCCTTCAGCGAACATGTGATGTGCAGCGAAGATAATAAAGCCGTATCCGAATCATTTGGCTACTGTCTGGATTTACACACGAGTCTATGAGAAGTGGCTACGGCCGCTACCGTAGCCGTGTGTAATATCAAGCCGCAAGTAATTCGGACACGGCCTTAAGTACCCCATGTTGCATTGCATTGTGGGAGAGATATGCATAGTTGGTAGCGCGATACTATTAGCACAAAATGCAGTGAAGTTATAGACCTTTCTTTTGTTTGTAAACATTGACGCCATTTTATATGGACTGCCGCAAGCGCATAAATTGAAGCCAGGGTTGACCATTATTTTTCCAGAAAACGTCCTCATAACGCCTTCAAAACATAGTCAAGAGGCATGTGTAGAAAATATGTTGTATGTTTGCTGACAATGTTGTATTTCCAACTATAAAATAATGTTTGGGTTATCTGTAATAACTCTTCTTCATTTTGCAGTGTTGGACCTTCCATAGTTTTGCAACCCGTGGTTGGCAAAAATACAGTTTGCCAACCAAGCGTAGAAAGGTCTATAATTGCATGCCCAGGCTGCGTTGCATGGCGGGACGGCTTGGGCTAAAAGATTGGGGATTTTGTGCCATGCAAATTATTCCAACATGCATCATATTTCCGGTATGGCAGTTGTCCGTAAGAGGGTTTTGCACAAAGCTTATATTTTGCAAGCGGAAGTGTTGACCCTCGGGCTACTGATGAACCAAAATCTACCCAATGGGAGCTCAAAGACAGTAGGAGATATGTCACAAACGCTTACGAAAGGGTGGAAGGTATATAGCCGCCATATAGTTACTACATGGCCTTTGTCTATTATCGTTCAATTTACCACAGGGCTATACCGATGGTTATCATCCAAATTGTACATAAACACTTTACCTTTGTGGTCCTGGGGGAAAGCAGAGGTTGTGGATTGTGGGTATGTGTTCACCGTAACAACGCATTATAAAGGTGCTCATATCAAGTGACTTAAGGGGAAAACGGCAAAACCTTTACTAAAAATTGTTCGAAGCGGGTAGTCTATGACAACGCCTCTGATTGCAGAACCACTTGGAGTACTAGCGAAAACAATGTTTTTTCAACCAACTATTCACTGATTATGTTTGGAACTAAGCTGAGCAAGTAAGTTTGCAGAACTCCAAGGCGTTCTGAGCAGAAAATACAAAATGTTACCGACAGTATATATTTAACTTATTAAAAACGTTCAGTATTATTATTGTTACATTAATAAGTTGATGTGAAAGAAGGCCGTGACTCATCATTTTTAATAATGTGTGTACAGTGATGAGTCAATGTGCTGACCATTTAACTTTGAATTCTTATAAAGCAATTTTAAGAACTTGTACTCTGGTGAAGAACAAATTAGGCCTTGGAAAGTAATTTAAACAACTTGTACTCTGGCAAAAAACAAATTACGACTTGGAAGTTTTTAAAAGTTATGAAATCACTGTTGATTATGGGGTTTTCATTTCAATCAGGGAGCCAAATATTGAAATCATATTTCCTTGATCTTTCATGGCATGTGAAACTGCATTTTGGGTACTTCTAAGTTAGTTTATCAACAGTTGGAAATCGTCTTCACATTGTTTGTAGATCAGTTGCAAACCTGTGCATGTGTTAACAAAATGATATTCGGTGACTATAGGTGTCAAGTAAATCCTTTCCTATAAGCTCGGGTCATGTGAACGACATTTAACTACCAAACCCTTCACAGTAACACTTCAGAAAGTTGTTTTGGCATTTCTTTTTTTTAATTGGTGGATTTTCTTCCCCGCCCTTCAAAGGGAAAACAATGTGGGTTGATTCTCCTTAAGAATTCGTTACATTGATTGAAATTCCGCTGACGCTAACTGTGGCATGCAGCACAAATTGAAATGAGATCGAAAACAATTTGCCTGATTGTTAATTCAAGCATTCCAATTTGGTCAGAATTACTGCTGGGTTTGGAGTCGATTGTCAAGTGTTGAAACCTCTGATCACTTAAAGCTGCGTTTCTGAAGAGTATGGACAAGAGAGTTTGTTTACTGAAAAGAATTTAACAATGAGGAATTTTAAACTTACCCGTGTTAAGAAAATCAAGTGATTTAAGGGTAGTTTCATTAGAAAGCCATATGTAACGTCGTCCTGACCAAAACGTATAGTTATACTAAAGTGAGAAAGTCAAACCTTCAGCTGCACATGCGCACAGCTTATTTTTAGGCTCAGCGGTGTATGTTGATAAAAGACACCTTGTGTATTTTTTTAATGCTACTTCCGGTGCATATATAGCCTTACCGTCCTTAATAAACGAAGGAATGGATGTGTGCGATATGCAAGGGAGAACGAGAATGCGTGGTTTGTGAAGAGAGAGAAATGGTGAAAAAAAAAGTCGGAACGATGGTGCAAGGTTTTTAACTGAAATCGAAGAATGACCTCTACTTCCTCCTCCAAGTATAGACTAAATATTATTCCGATAGCGCCCTCTTGAGGTGAAATTAGGGGGCTTCAGAAGGCCACTTGCACATGGTTATCCGCAGGTTTTCAGACAAGTCAACGCCTGTGAGAATCAACAGCCAAGCTTGGTTGACCTTCACACAAATACCACGGTTGACATTCATTTTCAACGTGCTATTCTGATGACCTCGTGCACCTAGGTGGTATTTGTCTCATGAGGGCGCTATATAGCCACACTGTACCAAAGCGCCCTCTGCTGGCGGCTGCGTTGCACGGTGAAGTTGGCTACAAAATCAACAATGATTCAGAAATGCAGGTGAACATGAAAAAAATTCCCATTTCTAATGAAGGGCGCGATTAAACATTCTTCTGTTATTTGGAAGATTAAGATTATTTGCTGGACGAAGCATCTTATTTTTGAGTGTGTGCGTTGTGTGCGAGACTTTTTGTATTTGTTGGTTTTTTTTGGGGGAGGGGGGATAGACTAGTGTCTACGTGTGGATATTGGGGGTTTTCTGTACGATCAAATATTGCACCGGAGTGTATTAACAGAGATGATGGTTATCACAATACCACAGACACTGCGTCGAAAAAGAAACTGGCGCCAATATTGAATATAAAGAAAAAAATATATAGAACTGTGAATTTCATAAGTTATTATATTTGATGGATAAATATGTAACGTGGATATTTTGTAAATCATATATTTCTTGAACTGTGACAGTACCTTTATAAGTTGTAAATATCAGCAAGGTGTAGATATTCACTGAAATGCAAACATTGGTTGAATGACTGAATGTTCATAAGAGAAAGATAGTGCGTGTATTGTATACTGATCATTAAATAGTATACGTAATATAACCGATTCTTATTGTATGTATGAAACTGTGTATAAAATAAATATTGACAATGTGGACTTGTAATTATGAAGACAGCTGACTCGTATTCATTGGAGGCCACAAGGGAAAGATAATCGGCTTGTTCGGTATTATGTAGCGTATACTAGTTTTGCTCATCAAAGACATGTGGCGGTACATGTATACAGTGCAGCCAATAATAAAAAGTGCGACAGTTCGCGAACATTCGCGCACTCGTGAACTACTCGCGCAGTACAGTTGTGTATCGTATGGAGTGCACGTGAAGCGATTACGTCCGGAGAGACAAAAATAACTTGTTAAACAGCCCGGACAATTACGTCTGTAGGTCCATTTTTAGGAACCTCAAAACAACAACAGGTTTACATTACGTACTAGAGTAACGCCTAAAAATAAACACTTCTTGGGGGAGACTCCCCTCAAGGCTGTACGTCTAACGTGCAAAAGTTCACAGCTTATTACACAATCAGACGAGACTTCAAGAATTTAAAAACGGTGGTCTTTTTTTAACAATATAAATCACTCTTTATTTCCGCAAGTTACCACTTTTTGACAATTTCTTCAAAAAGAAAATGATAAAAATGTGATCCCCAATCTGAGTACATTGTAGCATTTAAAGGAATGTTGGGTAAATAGGTTTTATAGATTTTAATAAAATCTTACGATTAAAAAAAAAAATTCTTCCGCACATCCGAACAATGATACCATTATGATCGTACATACGTATGTCTCAGTGATGGTGAATTCGAAATGAACAGTTCGGCAGTCACGTACGTGTTTATACTTACTGCAAAAAAGCAAAAATACGACAACAAAACAAATGCAAAAAATAAAGCTTTATAAAATGTGACACTTTTTGTAAGATAGGGATAACAATGATCTACAACACTACTGAAGGCATACTTCATATAAATCAATCATTTACAACCGTGGCACTTAATAAATCTCTGAAGTAAACGATTTTAACGCCTTCCACCTGTAATTTTTAATTTGTACAGAAAGACCTTTTAAAAATTTCAATTTAATCAATTTACAGTACTTTTTCACATAGACAATCGTGGTGGATAAGATGTGGATTATGCTTGTTACTGTGCAGACACTGGTGTTGGTTGGAAGGGGGATCGGGTTGATTTAACGGTTGACTGATAGACTATTTGTGGACTGCTAGTCTGTGGTTAGCCTAAAATGATGTGTTATTATGATGACTGACTGATCAATGCATAAGTGTACAGCATCGCGAGTATGCTGATGTGTGGAAATTACAATCAGCAAAACACTGACGTACGACACCTGTGGTCGAGTGGATTACAGTTAAGTGCATCATTGATAGATTGGTAAAATGGTTGACAGTATGTTCAACGTGTGGATAACGTTGTTGAAATGATGCTGACAGGTTGACTCCAGAGTAAGCAATGTGTGGAAAGGTGTGGTTGGTTGACTAACGTGTAGCATTTTTTAACGGTTGATTAAAGGCAACATTATAGCCAGTAATGTTAACTTGTGGATACTGTTGAGCCGAGTGTTAACGTATACACATTAGCACTGGTACGTGCAAATGAATGGTTGCGTGGATTACATTTGTACGCACTGTTTATAACACGTGTTAGTGTGGACCACATAATGTAAGAAAAGAGGTCAACTGTTTCCAACTTCACTGCTGTGCTTTCATGATGGCACACACATATTTAGTGCGACACAAAAAAAAATCCAGTGAGGTGTTTTGTGGGTTGGGGTTAACACCCCCCCCCCCCCTCCCCAAAAGAAAAACCTCCTGTCTCATTTCGTTCATTCTTTTCATCAGTCATAATCCTCAACAAAATCTCTCTACATCGGTAACAGCTTTCTGTCCTTACAACAGCTGATTCACAGCCCAATATTCACTGTACCTTCCTGTAGTTTGAATACCAAGCAATGCTCTTTCGTATCCTTTGGTTTGTTGCAATTTAATCAATACATGTATAGATTAACCTCTTGCTTAAGAGGTCAACAATGGTCAAAATTTTCTTCCTCACCTCCGGGCCTACTGTGTACAAACCAATGGGGGTCTTGACCAATATTGACCCAAGTAATAACCAGGCTGACAATGCATGTTTCCATAGGAGGGTTAACTGTTGATATCTCTCGATTCTTTACTTCGGGGTTATTCAGACACTCACCTCAATGACATTGTTTTCTTATATGGCCATACTCTAAGTAGGCCTTACACCTTTTGTAATAACTACAAAAAAAGACAGCCCATAAAATCAACATGAACATACTCAGTACTGATATAAATGTTGTCATGGCTAGCTGATTCGTTCTGATAAGTGCAACAGTTATAGTTTTTCTTTAAAATACATACATCTTTTTAATACGAGTAGCTGCCTGAAAAAAAGTTAATTCTCGCTAAATTTGGCTACTATTATAATTATTTTCTTGTTGGCTCTTTTTTCAATTTCAACGGTAACCATTTTTTTTTTACATCCATATCGAATTAAAGACTAGATACAAATTTCCTAGTTGCTGTTCAATCAAATATGAAAACAAGTACAACACAAATGTCACGAGATTGGTCACTCAAAAACATTATATTCCCATAGTGCCAAAAAAAACGAAGCCGTACGTTGACAGCAGGCTGGTTTCCTTTGAATACCTCATATTCTTAAAACTTTAACACGACACTTGGAACCAGGTTCCGCAAAACGGGGAAAATACCAACAGAGGTTCATTTTTTTCAAAATATGAACCAGTGCGTACAATACTAGGCACTAAGTTTTCATTTTTCACAACACTGTTTTAACGCGCAAATTTTTTTAATTCACTTAACAACCTCCCAGTCACCAGCATGCAAATTTTACAAGCAAAATCCTCAAACTCATAGAAATCATTAACTTGTATGGTAACAAATATAATTCATGTGAACATTATTTTCTTGTTAACTATTTCTCAATGAGTAAAACAGCAGGAATATAAAATCACCGTCAGTTGCTTTGTACATGTATTTCATTCATGCTCTAGGTATTAAAGGACAATTAAAAAAGGAAAGTGACTATGAATAATGTGCATTGTGCAAAACAACATGTTAGAGATGCGTTCCAGACTATTCTTAGTCAATCACAAGTCATTGAAGTACGAGGGCGTGAACAATTACAAAGCAACACCCTTGTTACAACTGATAATGTAGTAACCGACTGATAACGCATCACCAACCAATAATGTCGCACAAATTGACCGATATTGTATCACTAACCGATAATGTAACAAATATGACGGATACTGTAGTAAATGTCCTCAATCAGTCAATTGCTGTTACGTTATCGGTTAGGACCGATAGTCAACAACAATAGACTGATAGTGTAGTACATTTTACTACACTATCGGTCAATTTTGTGTTACGTTATCGGTTGGTGATACAGTATCGGTCAATTTATGTGACATTATCGGTTGGTGATACATTATCCGTTGGTTACTACATTATCAGCTGGAACAACCTTTGCCGCAGTTCATTTGAATAGCTGATCACTTGACTTGCAACTGGACGACTTGTGACTGACTTGTGATAATTACAACTCATCAAAATAAAGAGAACTTCATTGATCTTCCATGATTTTTTTCCCGTTGGGTTTGTTCCATTCAACATTTGATTAACATGCATTGCATAAAGTAAACACACAAAAAAGAGTAATGGCCCTAGCTTACTGTGGACTCTGGTGTTTGTCTCATCCATTTGATTAAAGTACTGTTAAAATCTGACTGGCGAATTCTTGGTCTGATTTTGAGTGACTCAAGTGCTCAAGCCATCAACACGAACACGAAAAGAACAATAATTCTTTTAAAAATCTTCCCCTCTCCTTTAAACCTTAACCTTAATGCTCTATTTAGCAGTAGATGGAAACTGCAAGGATTTAACATCCAGTTTCAGTATAAAGCTTTCAAAAAAGATAACAGTATGCATTTATTGTGTACGTTTCCGTTTGAATTATAAAAAATCACAGACATTTCCTCATTTAATAGGAAGTGTTGCACTGCATATACATGTGGCATTGTACACGGAGCAAAGTGTGGTTAAGCAGGGGTTACATAAAACACTTCCAATTATTGTGACTATCTCGCGTTTCTAAATACTTGGGAAAAAATAATAAAATCAATATGAAATCAATTGCTATAATATGTGAAATGTCTGGGTATCATTTTTATTCATTAAGAACTGAATGAGCATATACATTTCAGTATTCATTCATTCTATTCCATCAAATGCCATTCAATGAAATTTAGGTGGTTGTAGTTTGCCGAGTGCTCACACAGTTCTGGTACAAAAGCAAAAACAAAATGCAAACCAGGTGGATTGGTGTCATCATCTTTAGGCAACCACCAGAGGCTCGTCATCAGAGAAGCCACGAATCATTGGCTGATCCTCTTCGTCCCCTGCAATGTGATTGGATGGAAATTATCATTATGCAAATCATGTATAGTCATTTATTCATTTATGCAAATATCAAGTGAACCTCAGCATAATCTGGTTACCTGAGTTGTGATTTGAATTGTGATTGACTTAAGATTGACTTACTACATGTACATGTACACTGTCTATTTGTACATGTACCTCAATCGCTTATGTAACATTTTTTAGATTGGATAGAAGTACATTGGGAAACAAATCAGCTGGCATGTCTTAGGTACAGTACTGCTCAAATTAAACCTTACTCTGATTATTGCTTGCGTGATAAATTCCCTATAATACGCTATCATGTGGTAATGAACATGATGCACAGAGAATGGCTGTTTACATAGGCATAGCAAAAAGAGAGGGGTCAACAAGCTTGTTCCTGGTACATGTAATTAGTTTCTTGGAAAATAAGCAGTCCGAGCAAACAACAACGGATGTGTGTACATGTGTGCAGTTGTGGGAATTAACCCTAACGTACCTGAATCCATTAAAAACCACACACCCCTGTTTCGGGGGACTTCGGCGGATTCAGGATACCTCCATATTGAAAAAGTTTGGGGATTTTGATGGATTCAGGACATAAAGCCTAGGGGTACTGCAGGATTTTGATGGATTCAGGACACCTCCATATTGAACAATCGGGGGACTTTGATGGATTCAGGATCTCAACAGATTTACTACCGGCTAGAAACTGGTGGATTCTGATGGACTCGCTGGCCACCAAAATTTGATAGCATGACAAAATTGATGGATTTTGGTGGATTCAGGATACTTTCTAGTAAATATACCCAAGGGGTTAGGGTTAATGCCCACTAGACAGATTAACAAATATTCACTGTACATTCATGGAGGGCTCTTCACTGGTGAAAGCATTCCATTTATGCGTCCTAATATACAAAGCAACTGCCCCATGACAGGTTCTCTGAACAATAGCTGACGCAAGGCTTTCGTCATTGAAGGGGCCTCCATGAACATACTGTGTGCTCGGAATGATCTATAGACCTTCATCATGCTGCCACCATTTCAGTCATGTTCCCTGTATCCAATAACAGTACTGAATGATGTTTTTTTTTGCGCAAAAAAGGAACCAGACCATTTTTCCTTCCAGTCTTGCTTTGGTTACACTGATTTGAATGGGACAAAAATCAAATGGCTGCAACATGATAATGGTCTATGGTTGGGCTCTAATTACCAAGGTCGTCGTCTCCGCTGGTGAAGGTGGCAGTGCCGGAGCGCGGGTCGTAGTGGCTGTTGGCAAAGGACATGAAGCTACGCTGCAGGCGGCGATGACGGACCACAAAGTAGGTCAGAGCAATGACCAGAAGAATGATCAAGGCCACGGCTGCGGCTACTGCACCTATCCAGGTGGTCTGGGACGCAATATTGGGCTCAGGGGTGGGCTTGACGGCTGAGGATATTGGGGGAATAAGTCACATATTAAGTCAAGGCAATGACCAGAAGAATGATCAAGGCCACGGCTGCCACTACAGCACCTATCCAGGTGATCTGGGCCGTGGTATGGGGCTCAGGGGTGGGCTTGACGGCTGAGGATATTGGGGGAATAAGTCACATATTAAGTCAGGGCAATGACCAGAAGAATGATCAAAGCTACGGCTGCGGCTACAGCACCTATCCAGGTGGTCTGGGACGCAGTATGGGGCTCAGGGGTGGGCTTGACGGCTGAGGATATTGGGGGAATAAGTCACATATTAAGTCAAGGCAATGACCAGAAGAATGATCAAGGCCACGGCTGCGGCTACAGCACCTATTCAGGTGATCTGGGACGCAGTATGGGGCTCAGGGGTGGGCTTGACGGCTGAGGATATTGGGGGAATAAGTCACATATTAAGTCAGAGCAATGACCAGAAGAATGATCAAGGCCACGGCTGCGGCTACAGCACCTATCCAGGTGATCTGGGCAGCAGTATGGGTTGCAGAGGTGGGTTTGCCCGCTGAGGAAGTTAGGGGAAAGTCACAAATTTAGTCAGGGCAATGACCAGCATATGGTCAAGGCTATGGCTGCGGCTACAGCACCTATCCAGGTGGTCTGGACCACAGTCTGGGGTGCAGGGGTGGGCTTGCTGGCCTAACGATTTTTGAGGAAAGGTCATTTCAAATGCGAGGTTTACATTCCATTGGTAGACAGCTTAATACAGGTCCTTAGAAGGTATCTCATTAAATATCAAAGGTATTAGTTGCAGACAGGTGTATCTGCAAAAGGCCCATTATATTTGGTGTTTGATGCTGGATTAAACAGAATCTTAATGCTTGATCTTTTCAGCACTGTTTACAAACAGATCACTCAATTGAGGATGTAAAGTATGTCGGCTAGGCACATACTAAGCATCAGCAAAAATTCAAAATTTGATTATGGTAATATCTCACTTTGAAGATAATGGGCTGCAGATCATGATGTTTAAGTTAATGATAAGTGACACATGATAAAAAACTAGTACGCGAGTGTGATGTTTATTACACGAGTGTGAGTTTATTCTTCTGGGGAGGGGGAGGGGGAACACATTTATTGCATGAACTAGGTGTTTGTTCTGAAGCGATAACAATTCCACCTAGAAAGAAAACAAAGTGTATGAAATGTAGACGATCAAGAATAAAGAAAATTTAAACCGTGTTTTCTGCGTGTTTCTCCAGCCTTGGCGTTTTCAGCAAATCATGAATCAAACCTCATTCTCTTGGATCCCATGCCATAGATGTTTTAAAATTCTGTCACCACTGCCTCACACAGCATTAATGTCTTTGAGGCTGGTGTTGTGTGAAATCTGGACTCTATGAAATACAGAATCCATGGTTGTATTGGACGCGCCTCCGTGAATTTATGAAGGACAATGACAGATCAAGTGTGAGGGTTATAAGGTAAAAGAGATCAAATCGTCGCGTCAGTGCAACAAAGTCGTAACTCCATTTCTGCAACAAAGTCGTATCTCGCGCAAATACGCTCCGTGCAACAAGGTCGTATCTCGATGTCCATTGACTTTGCTGTACATCCGGGTTATTTTAAGCGAGATACAACCTTTTGACATTCTAAAACTCGCGTTTTGCGTTCATAACTCCATTCTGCAACAAAGTCGTATCTCGCGCGAATATGCTCCTTGCAACAAGGTCGTATCTCGACGTCCATTGACTTTGCGTGTACATCCATGTTATTTTAAGCGAGATACGACCTTTTGACATTCTAAAAATCGCGTTTTGCGTTAATAACTCCATTCTTCAACAAAGTTGTATCTTGGCAAATACGCTCCGTGCAACAAGGTCGTATCTCGACGTCCATTGACTTTGCGTGTACATCCGTGTAATATCTTAAGCAAGATACGACCTTTAGACATTCTAAAACTCGCGTTTTGCGTCGTTCATGCCATTTTAGGAGATACGACCTTGTTGCACTGACGCGACGAAATTTCATAGAAGCCCATTGTGACCCGCTCCGCAAAAATGAGTCTGTTGTGGCAAAACTGACATTTTGAGTTAACTACATTAATAAAATGGGAATGAAATAAGCTTTCATTTGGTATATCATGGGCCTCTCTAGGACATTTGGTTGCATTGTTGTGCTTGTTTCATTCTGTAAAGTTTTTGCAAAGCTAGAAGTGTCTCACTGGAGAAAAAAGGCTTTGAAAAATGACAAATACACTGTAACAAACCAAGAAAAGCACCAAAGATTCATAATGTTTTTTCTTTTTCTTACAATATTTACATTTCTGTGTAAGCTATTTGAACTAAAACTATCAAACAACCAAAATAAAACAAAAACAAAAAATCCAAATTTTGAGCAAATTTTTACTGTTTCCATTTCAAAATGGCAAAAGCTTGAATTCAAATTATGCGACATCAGACTCATTTTTGCAGAGCGGGTCACAAATTTCATATGATACCGGATTTAGGAAAAGTGAGTGGCAAACTGCTCTCCTCCAGCCAGACCAAGGCTAAGTATTCACATTACACAATGTAACTCATTTTCAAAATTTCACTTCCTGACAACTTCTTCAAGCTAGGTCTTTGATCAAGGTGTTTACTCTGACACCCTGGTGCCCTCCCCCACCTACCACTGCAACACCTCAAGCATCTCCTCCCTTTAATAATAATAATAACAGGCATTTATATAGCGCTTTTACGCAACGGGGTATCAAAGCGCTTTACAATTATTATTATCCCTGTTTTAAAGGGCAAACATTCCTGAAACCTTCTCTGCTGCCAGGGGAGCATACAGCTCGATGCTGCCTGTTATTAGGCGCAAGGCAGCTTAATCAACCATGCACAATAACCATCTCTGCCCTCACAGGTACCCATTTACTCCTGGGTGGAGAGAAGCAACCAGTGACAAAGCGCCTTGCCCAAGGGCGCACCCACCATGACTTCGTTAGGACTCGAACCCACAACCTGCAGCTTTACCCGCAGACCATGAATCAGTGCCCTCAACCACGAGGCCACAGCATTCCACAAATCCTACAACTATTCCCTTACCTGCGTCAAAGCCATCCACACACTGGTCGTTGGATTTCTGACCATAGATCCCTCTGTAAGCCCCCGTGCTGACCCTGAGGATGTAGGTAACCTTGGCAGGCTGGGGCTTCAGGTCCAGGAAGTGCGAAGTGGTGTTAGCAATGGGAACGTAGGCAGATTCTGGGGGTTGAAAGGAGCTTAGACTATCCTGCAAATCCTTGCAGCGGGGAGGAGCGTCCTGGTTGCCATCCATGACCATGAGCATGGGAATTGGTGCACGGAACACTGTGTAACCCTGACAAATCAAACACTCTCATCATAAAAACACATGAAGGACTTACAGGCGAGGCGTTCTGGCAAAATGAGAGGGAACTGGGCACGGGGTGTAGTGGAGAAAAATGAATGGGGAAAAACACCTGGGGTGATTATTGCAATATTTATTGATATTTGTAATCTTTGATATGTCTCCTATACAAATTGTAAAGAAACATTCATAAATACCTCAGACAGTTTAGCTATTCCTATTGGTCGAGAGCCCGTCACGTGGCCGGTCTTACACGGATGATAAAGACATGGCTAGCTGGTCTTAAACACTTTTCCAGTGTCACAATAAAATGTGGACTCCTAAAAATCCAGTGCCTCTTACCGTTTCATTGGTTGAACGTTCACAATCCTCACGTAGGCATGCGCAACACTACCAGTGAGTCAGAATTTTACAGTTCAAAATTCAAAACGAAACGCCCCAGGTGCGTTCTGCACGACATCGCGCAGAACATGCCATGCGCGCGTCAATCGCCATAAAAGAGTTGTTTACATCTTACTCGCCAGCTGAACACTCCATTATTTTGCCAGAGGGATGTTTCAAAAAGCATGAAGTGAACTTGTTGAACAAATTGGGATTTTTTGAACGAATTATTTGATATTTTTTAACCGGCTCGGGTAATTATCAGCACCCAGACTCTAAGTGGTCTTAAACAGAGTGATAAAAACCTCTCGAGCACACATTTATTCCCTTAGTATAAAATTTGTGGAATAAAAGTGTTTTGAAGGGAAAAAACCATTGGCATCTATTATTTTCAGGACTACAAAACTTGGTACTTTAAAGGCCTTTTCTCAGTAATTTACTTTTCTGACATGTCGATAAATACATGTGAACTTTAAAAAGCCATAACTTCTCACCAGAATGTCCGATGGAAGCGCAACAAACAGTATTGTAAAGAGAGTTTTGTTCTTCTTCCTACCACGAACAAACGAAATAACCACGAACAAACCCTCATTTCGACCTCTGCCAAGTTCTGTCTCATTTTTCCCAAACACATCACGTACTATGTGCTCCTACTACTGTACAATGTATACCAGCCGAAGCACACCAGCACTTCTGTCACAGAGGACTTACATATGCACATGTATCTCCCTAAACATGCCAACCCAAAACCATATCTTCAACCAGTTTTTCTCTCACACACAATGACCTTTACATTCATACACATTGACTTTTCTCTGACCGGCACCTTTGAATGACTACCATTTTCTGATACCATTCCTTCTAATAATGCCCTGGGAGCAAATTCATCAACCCTTTTTCACCTGATTCAATCACCACAGTTAGACCAAAAAAAAAAATATTCGGTCTCTGGTCAGACCAAAGTTCCGGAATTGACGCGGCCACGCGGCTTTTTTTTTTTTTTTTTTTTTCTTCTTCAAGCTTGGATTGTACAGACAAGGTGGGGTACTATTTTGCTTTTTTGGTGTCCTCATGTACATTGGTGTCCTCCATAATTTGCCTTGGTCCTTTCGATCATTTGCCTTGGTGCAATTTCCCATTCCTTGGTGCTCTTTGTTAAAAAAAACATTGAGGAGGTGCGGAAATAGAGGTCGCTGTTGGAGCTACCGCGTATCATTTTGGAAAAAAAAAAGATCGACGCGCATGATTAAAATCGACGCGCGCACTGACCAGAGACCAACTTATTTATTTTGTTGGCCTTATCACCCTTGTTTAAGTTCTAGTATTGTCGTTTAAGTCTGTTTTGTTTAAGTTTTGTAATTGTTGGTTTTTTTACTTGTATAGATTCCTGAAGAAGAGCAGTTTTACTGTCTCGAAACGTCGATTAAATCCACTCCAGCCAGCAATGCATTGGTTCTGTGTCACCCTCTCTTTTTTACTATTACGTATACATACCACGGATTCATTGTACTCATTGGCCGACTTTTGCCAGGACAAGGCATAATGGCCTCCAGCCTCAGGGACAGCATGAAACTCCTGCGGAGCAGCCACACGGTCTGCAACCAAACACACACAAACAACAAATATTAATGGAACATACAGCGTGTCCCAATAAAAATGTCCCTCTGATAGGCTGCTAAATTAATTCCAAAATCAAGTATTATTCTCAATTTAGTGTTCAGATTTAGAAAGCCCATTTTATTTTGTAACTTCTCTGAAAATTTCATTTGTCTCGCTTCATTGGTTTTGAATACACAGTCTATTATGTAGCAGCAGTGCTTTTCAGCCCATTCCAAGTTTGCAGTGCTACATTTTCTGCACTGCCTTGAATGGATATCAGGTGGAAGGACGTGCAGGAGGACAATAAAGGTTTACAAGCTGGACATTGAAGGACAAACCATAAGTGGAACACACCCTGTGAAAGCAAACACGACTAGTGGAACTGAACTTTGATTAGTTTTCATTTAAAAAAGTAAATGAACTTGGCTTTAGTTACTTAATAACAAAAACAAGAACACAGCTGTTGAAATAAAAGTGAAGCATAGAATAAGGTATGGTATGTAGTGTGCATTTCTTTTTGTCAAACTTGGAATGAGCCAGAAAGCACTGCTGTTACATAAGAGCCTGTGTATTCAAAACCAATGAAGCGAGACCTTTGAAATTTTCACAGGAACTACAAAATTAAGTGGGCTTTCTAAATATGTAAACTTAATTAGTATAAAACTTGATTTTGGTAATTATTCTGTGGTCTATGAGAGGGACATTTTTTGGGGGACACGCTGTATACCTTGCTCTTACAAACATCGGTATTATATGGGTTTTTTCCAAGTTGGGTATTCCAAATTGAAGTTTTTTAATTTGGAAATCAGACTGTCCAAAATGTCACGCTAATTTTGCGTCATTTCAGAACAAAATCTTGGACAAACTATCATTTTGTGAAAAGACATGCCTCTCTCAAAAGAAATACATTGTCTATGAAATTTCCGTTTGAACTTTGTCAGAACATTTAAAACATTGGTAGCATGAGAACATTTCAAAACTCTCAAATCGCTGAAAACCAACCCACGTCATTTTGCAGCTGTTTCTCCATTCTGACTGGATTTGACACCACGGCACCGTTTAAAAACTAATATTCTTGCTTTCGTTTATGTAATGGGGAGTCAGGTTGGCGTAGTGGTACTTTCCTCGCCTTCCACTGCTGTGACCCGGGTTCGAATACCGCCTGGGCCAATATGTGGATTGGGTTTTCAGTCCCTGCCTGATTCCGTGGGTTTTACTCAGAATACTCTTCTGGGCTTTTCCTCCCACCTCTAAAACTGTAATTTCTTCACACTGTGCTCTCTTTACTGGGACCCATGGGGGATCAGTGGATTCCACTGAATGGGCTACCTAATCAAAATAGAAAGTAAACTAGAAATTGTGGTTGTGAACAACCACAGAGCTGTTCCCAATAATGTCTGTTGGACCGTAAACAAAATGATTCAATGATTTTTCAAAAAAAAATGTCCCATCAAATTTATAATTCATTAGATATGCTAATTAGGGAATAAAATTAACACTTCCAGTAACACCGGAAGTAGGGTCACATGACCTTGACAAACCAATTTTCATCTATAACACTTCCCTGTCTATATGCCTACCAGGCTTGAGATCAATCGGTCACATAGTTCTATAGTTATAAGACTGTAAAGATTGCCTCATGAAATATTCATGACGTCATAACATGACCAGAATAAAGCGCACGGTAATAATAATGCAGTATAATTATCAGTCAATATATCACTTCATATATTCATGTGAAGTTTCAACCCAATCAGATTAATAATTTATGAGATATGATATAAGGTCAAATAGTTCTATAGTTATAAGACTGTATCAAAGATTGCCTCATGAAATATTCATGACGTCATAACATGACCAGAATAAAGCGCACGGTAATAATAATGCAGTATAATTATCAGTCAATATATCACTTCATATATTCATGTGAAGTTTCAACCCAATCAGATTAATAATTTATGAGATATGATATAAGGTCAAATAGTTCTATAGTTATAAGACTGTATAAAAGATTGCCTCATGAAATATTCATGACGTCATAACATGACAAGAATAAAGCGCACGGTAATAATAAAGCAATATAATTATCAGTCAATATATCACTTCATATATTCATGTGAAGTTTCAACCCAATCAGATTAATAATTTATGAGATATGATATAAGGGTCTGAAATTCCCAACTGAAATTGGGAACAGCTAAAAATGGGTACAATCAAGCAGAAAAAAGACGGGCCACAAAGGATTTTTGAATAGCAAACGTACTTGTAGTTAAATTTACTGGTGATGACTGTACGGCGTGAGCTGCAGTGGTGCTGATGACGATCATGTAGGACATGCCCGGGACCAGACCGTGAATGGTCGCGTTAATCTCAGTTCTGGCCGTTGGACCAACAGTCATGCTGCTTGACGCTTTGGTCGCAGTTTCATTGTACACCACCTTGTAACTCTGCAAAATGAAGGGGAAAAAAGGAGTTTTTTTTGTTCTATGGAATATATACAACATTTGCTTTTGCTGTAATTTTCAGAAATTGATGGATTTGGGGGTTAGTCCAAAAAAAAAAGGCTCCGGTTTCTGGTATGCGCACGCGTCGCCGTAGCCATGCGTGTCGGCAAAATGAAATTTTTTTTTTTTCAACGAAAGATGATGTCTCGAAACCGCCAAACTCATTGGTTTTACTGGAATTCTGCTGCTGCACAATTTTAACATGTTTTTAGATGGGGCTATGATCGAGAATAAGCTTTATGTGGCCTCTCTGGACTCCAATATATTTGCATTATTCGGGCACCATTTGCAGTCATCAGCAAACATTTGAAAAAAAAATGGTAATAACAACATTTTTATTTTTTTTAAATCGCATCGCCGCACCACTTTTTGGGCAATCTCAATACCCGGAGACTTTTTTTTAGGCCTTAGTGGCAAATGTTGTAACACAACTTGTTTGACGTTTTGGGTTCGCAGATACTGGAAAAACCAAGAAAAACAATTATGTTCTTGTAGCCTGGTTATAGACGTCAATTTTTGGCAAATACTGACGTACAAAGAAAGGTGGTCTTACCAGCATGTGAGGTGTGTCACGGGGTGCTGTCCATCCCACTGTGATGCTTGTGGTGGTGCTAGCGATACTTTTCACACGTCGGACTGGCAGTTTGTCATCTGGGGGGAAAAAAGCAAAAATATTACATTTACATCAATTTACAACACCACAATTACCCAAAGAAATATAATGTCAAATAACAGAGACAGAAACACTTTTCATCAGATGGAATTTGCGTTGGGGAGATGTAAATTTATTATTAGGTTTTGCCCTTCACCGACGTACAAACACCGAGTATACAGTGTTTATATAGTGGGGAAGAGCAAAAGCAGAAACACTTTCATCCACTTAAAAAAAATGGAAATATTTACTCTTTGAAACTTTCCACAAAGGATCTATAAGTTCTAAATAGAGGTTACCTGCCGTTACCACTTATATTTTGTCTTATCCGATGACGGAGTTGTTATTGCAATACGGCACCCACATACCCATCCATAAAGAACAACCTGACCCAAAAAAAAGCCAACAATTCAAACTCACCAAAAGTGGTACTGCCAAATGCTGGAAGTGACCTAGGCGCATTTCGACAACTGTCTGAACTTAAGCTGACTTCAAAGGCATATGTGACTCCTGGAGCAAGGTTTTTCGCAGTGTACGTTGTGGAAGCCGACACATCCTTTCTCGATTGACCAGGAAGGCTACCCTCATGTTGGTCATAGTAAATATCATAGGTCTGCCAAAGGTAACAGAACAATTATCAGGGGTGTGAGTGACCACTTATAAAAATAGCTGAAAATAGCTGAAAAAAGGTATAAAGAAGCTGAACTTTGGAAATCTCCTATACCTTTGTACATAGCAAGTGAGGGAAAAAGCTGAAAAAAACTGAAATCCAAAACAAAAAAAAGCTGAAATCAGCTTAAAAGCTGAGATTTCACACACCTGAATTATGGACTTTTGACAGCCCTGAAGAGGCGAACAGTGTTACAAAGGAGTTAGAAACACTCGGGTAATTATCAAAATTACCGTGAAATTCATGAATACATAGGAAAATTCTTTTGTTTTTGTTCAGCTAGTGTTGAGTAAACAAGAATTTGGCTTGGAATACTCACGTTGATATTTCCGTGAGAAGATGGAGCCTGCCATGTTAGATCTATTTTCGTCGTGCTTTTGGTTTTCGCCACGAGGTTTGTCGGTGCGTCGAGTGCAGCCCCTTCAGTTTTGTTACCTAAATAGTCCGACCACGGACCGGGACCACCGCTGTTGCCTGCGGCCACTCGAAAGATGTATTCGGTCCCCGGGCAAAGTTTGTCCACTGCAACAAGTGAATAGTTTACCAATGTGACAAGTCAGTGGCACACTATTTCTCTCATTGACCTACATACCCTAATTGTTTAACACATTTGGATTCCAGAAACAATATCAATTCTCAAACAAGCTGGTTTATTTTGTGGTCGTGGGTATGAATTGAAAGAATTGAACTAGATGAATTCATCCAAATTTGTATTAAATTTCAACCTCTATTTTTACGGACATATATGTACAGGTATCTTGAATAAGCCTTTGTACTGATGACCTCACACTTTGTTTCCCAATGGGAGCCTGGTGGGGACGACAGATTCATGGTCTCATAGGAAAGCACACAAGTTAACAAAGTGTGACGTCATCAGTACAGAGGCTTATCCAGTCTAGATGCAAATGAAGTTTACATGTTTAAAGCTGCAGACAGCAACTCAACAACTTGTTGTGTCTCTCCATTCGTTAGTTATTAGTAATAAACATCAAGTGACAGCCTTGCATGGCTATAAATCAACTCCCTGGCCCTCTTGTGTCACTTTAATGGGTCTCCACCGACCCCGTCAAAGGTCACCAAGGGGTCACCAGGGTCAAAAACCTGATTTCTGGGCTCTAAACACTACTCCTTCCATAAATTACATGGCACAATCACGTCACTCGAGCATGAACACAAATTTGTTGGCCCGCAGCTTCCAAGATCAATTCCAGCTTGTTATTATTTTGCCAAGTTGGTCACAATTTTCATTTCTTGCTTGAAAGGGTTTGAGGCGCCCTCTACAGGTATGACAAGATGTAATACTCACCAGTGACCGTAGTCTTGGTAGTGTTTGCACAAATGTCCCTTGAATCACATTCTATCAGGTAATACTGTTCCAATAAAAGAGAGACAGATACAAAATCACCATTTCACTGTATACAATTTGGGCGATTCACAATGCAGTGCGCCACCAAGAGTTTGCCACGGTGAGTTCATTTTTCCCAGTGCATTGTGGGAGATGGTCAACAAATTCACACCGTGAGTATTTACACCCCCCCCCCCCATTTTGAAAAGACTGCCCTGAAAAGCACCATACATGTACATGTATATTGTCCATTAATGTACACAGTCATCGGTTTTGAACAGCGCTCCCATCGACAATTTGGGCGATTCACAATGCAGTGCGCCACCAAGAGTTTGCCACGGTGAGTTCATTTTTCCCAGTGCATTGTGGGAGATGGTCAACAAATTCACACCGTGAGTATTTACACCCCCCCCCCCCATTTTGAAAAGACTGCCCTGAAAAGCACCATACATGTACATGTATATTGTCCATTAATGTACACAGTCATCGGTTTTGAACAGCGCTCCCATCGACAGATGGTACCCCACCCCCCCCCCCCCCCCCCCCCCCCAACACACCATTTGATTTTACGGAGGCCAAGTGTCCTGTGTGTAGTCAAGGGTAAAACGTAGTAATTGATGGTTCTGGGTGTTTTCTTCTCATTTTTCCCATAACAAAAATAAGGTAGGAACTGTCAGAATAGGGTACGGTAGGTAGGGAAACCGGAAGCAGAACTGTTTTTTTTTTTTTATTGGCTTAAGATCAATCTTAGAGTGGGGAATCGTCATAAGTCTTAAAGCTATAGTCCATCATTTGCAGCTATCCGAAAAGTAACTGGCGTAATTATTGTTGAAAAACATACTTGGTTGAAAGATAGTAAGGGGACTAAACTCCCTGTGAAATTATTCTTTCTGGCAAGCTGTCATTTTGAAGTAAACAACGAAAGGAGGCCTTTCCAAGAAAATTGAATTTAGTGGTTCGTTTTGTTATTCGGCGAAGCGCGCGCAAACATTGGCATGAAGCGCACACACCCCAAATTGCTATAATTCGTCGGATCAGTGCGCGACATCGCGTAGCTGCAATCGGGTCAGCGAGAACGTGTCTCAGACGCTGAATTCAGGCCCAATTCAAAACATGATTCAGCAACTTTTGATTTGAAATCGAGATCCTAGAATGCTGTTTTTCTACATACAGTTGAAGCTGAGCTGAAACTTTATCAGATTTAATTGTTCAGTATCCTTCTTTAGATTGTGAGCACTTTAGTTGCTTCAAAGGAACAAACTGTACAAATTACAAACGATGGACTATATCTTCAAGACAAGTCTAAACATAATAATAATAATAATAGTAGCTTCTTGTATAGCACTCATATCCGTCACTAAGGACGCTCCTGGCACTCAATTATTACCCTGGCTTTAGCATAAGATGAATTTCGTGACATAAAGCCCCTGGCCATTAATACAGAATACTTACAGTGACTGGTACTGTGGTGTCCGGCTTTCTCCAAAACAGAGTGATGGAGTTTTCACCAGCTGCTACAAACAGAAAATGACTAGGGGGCTTTGTGATTGCTGTATGTGAAAGAAAAATGCCCACACCAGACGTCAGCTTTCTATTACTCCCGTTGAAGATATGGGCAAATAAATCAAATGGATATGAAATCCAGTCCTGGGAAATACGTCCAAAAGCATATTATTGGTTTAAAGGGTTATACAACATTTGCGAACATCAGAAAAATAAAACTATCAAGTTTTTACGAAATACCTTACTAGGATGTTGGTACACGACAGTCTTAAGCATCCTGTAAAATTATGGCACCTAGTGTGAAGTCATTTTCAAGAAAATTTTGTTTTTGTATACATTTCCAACGGTGGTCGGCCTTGGAAAAACCTGACTATTTTTCAACTACTGCTCCAAATTTGCCACTTTTCAGTCAAAATTTTGTTTGCTTTGGTTACATGTTCAAGAACAAGTGCAGGCCAGCTAGACTGGTTCCCTTACCTTACAATTTTCCAGCATCTATAAATTTATCTATTTTATCTTTAGTGGAGTCAGGGAACCAGACTACTTGAACAGTTTTGTTTTTCTTGCTTTTCCCTACATTTTCTTCCAAACTTCCAACATATTAGTGTAACAATGTTTCATCTATTATACTAATCCCTCAAATAGTTCATTTCTGAAAATTACAGCAAAAACCAATGATGTACATGTACATTCCCTTTGAGGAATGAGAGAAATGTATTTGTCACGGTGAAAAAGTAAATTTAAAGTAGATCTGTGCGTCATATTAACCAATACAGCAGGTTTATTTCGCAATCAGACCAGGAACTAACAAAGCAGTATAATTAATTTGAAGATTGATGAGAACTATTGAAAAATCATTCAAAATCATAGGACGTCATCATAATGTCAATTCACATTAACATTCACTCCTTTTTTATTGTACATTTCCAGCGGAATTTCCAGCGATTTATTACGTCCAGTTGGGACAAAACAGGTAAATTAAATTCCGTAGCGAAAGAGTTAATTTGTGGGTAAAAGAAAAAGTCTGGAAAAAAAGAGTGAAAAAAAGAAAAAACAAAAATCTGTACACAAACAATAGCTCATTTATCAAATATTCCATTGAAAGTGGAAAGCAAAGAAGACAAAACTTTACCGTTAGGGTTCATTGTTATATCTTTCGTGGTCTCATTACAAAAACTGCCCCAACCAGAAGGATTATGAGCCCGCACCTGCAAAATTTGAATAGACAATTTGCATATATCAGAATCAGTGTTGTAGTCGAGTACTTTTTTCCCGAGTACCAATACTGCCGAGTACTTAGGTAGCCGAGTACGAGTATGAGTACTTGTACTTGTACCTCTGAGTACAAGATCAGGTCTCCGAGTACGAGTACTTATACTTCCGAGAACGAGTACTTTACTTCCGAGTACGAGTACGAGTACAAGTACTTGTATTCCGAATACAGCCATACAGCAAATGATTCATTGTGCGTGATTGGCAGAGACCCGGTCAGACCGATATACAGACCCACTCACAGCTAGCTGTTGTTAGTGTCTTTGTCCACATGTGAACAGAGGAAAATCAGGAAACTTTGATTTTTCCGCGTAAGCCAATCAACCATTTCAAACTGAAAGTATCGATAAAATAAGGCCATGGTGTATAAAGTCAAACTAAACCATTTCCACCGAGTACTGGTGCTTTGCTGCCCGAGTACGAGTACCGTCATTTCGAGTACGAGTACTTTGACATTCGAGTACGAGTACGAGCACTCCAAAAAATACCTGTTAATGGCCCTCTTTCAGCAACTGTGAAGAAGGCTGTGTGAGCCAAAGCCGGTTTAATAAGAATTTAGTATACCAAAAAAGAATATCTTAACTTTTGAAATTTGCCTTCACATGTTAACCCTTTCATGCCCACATTGTTTATTGACTTGGCTCTCCCCAGGACCAAATTGTTTGCTCAGTCATGCGGAAATCACTAGAGCGTGAAAAAAAATGAGCACGAGTCAAAAACTCACTTTTTTCAACCCAGATTTTCACTGACAAGGAGTGATTAAAATCATAGGTGTTGTGTGTAAAGTTTGTTCCTTGAACCTTACTCTTTTATGTGATGTAAAAATGAAGTCCATACGTGCAAATATAAGAAAGTTATGCCTTTTTGTTCATCTGGTCCCAATTATCAAACTCCAAGCCATTTCACCACATGACCAAATGGCACTCCATACCTCAAATTGTGCATGGATACTTCTGAAGCACTTTTCTCGTTTTTTTGTAATGGTAACACTATGAATAAACCACACCAACAGAAAGATCCGAAAATACTCTTTTAGCTGGTGTATAGTTGATGTATGGGCGGCCAAACATATCAACATGCCGCCTTTCTGAAAAGTAGTGAATATATCTGTGTTGAGGGTGTTTTGTGTGTGGTTTCCTGGTGGACTAAAGTCGCCCATGGGAACCAGCAGGGGGGTACTTCTTGTCGACAAAAGTCGCCCATGGTAAGGAAAGGGTTAAATTCCCGCCTCTGCTGATTTTCAAACTGACAAACAATGGAAGGAAAACCAAAATGGGTAGTTTCACCTTGAACGCGTAGACTCTGTTAGGGATGAGGTTTGCGATGTCAGCTGACAGGCCAAGCACAGTAACAGGCGTCACACGTCCGTCGTGGTCCAGGTGGTACTGGAGCTTTAGTAACAAAAGGTAATCAGAGCAAAAGTTAAGTAATGCTTAAGGGCAATTCCACGGTTACGTTACATTTTTTATGTCCTTTTGAGATTCCTTGGGCTGTAATTACCTTACCGAAAAGGTTTAATAACTATTATCCCCATTGTAGGTAGAGTAGACCTAGACCTACCTAAGCACCAAAGATGACATCCAGACAAATGTGTTACGCATGATAAACAAGACGCACAAATTCGGTTACTCGTGTTACCTGTAGGTTTATCCAATACATTAAAGGTGTAGTCCATCATTTGTAACTTGTGTATTTTGCTCGTTTAAAGCAACAAACATGCTCAAGATCTAAAGGGTGGAGAACAAATAACCTGATGAAGTTTCAGCTCAGCTTTAGCTGAATATTTCGAGAAAAACAACATTCTAGGATCTCGTTTCAAATCAAAAGCTGCTGAATCATGTTTTGAATTGGGCTTGAATTCAGCGTCTGAGACGTATTCTCAATGAGCCGATTGCAGCTACGCAATGTCATGCACTGATCCAACGAATTATAGCAACCGCCCGCACGCGTGCATCGTGCCAATGCTTGCGCGTGCTTCGCTGCGAACAAAACAAACTACTTACTTAAATTTCCTACGGTGCTTCTTAAGAAGCACCGTTGGAAAGGTCTTCTTTTGTTGATTTCTTCAAAATGACAGTTTGCCAGAAAGAATAATTTCACGGGGAGTTTAGTTCCCTTACTATCTTTCAACCAAACATGTTTTTCAACAATAATTACGCCAGCTACTTTTCGGATGGCTGCAAATGATGGATGATAGCTTTAAGCTCTTGTACTGCCCCAAATGCCTCAACTGTTACTCTTCATTCTGCCCCAAACCGCCACAGCACTCTATGGTTATATGGATTAAAGTAGTAAAACTGGAGCATGTAAGTTGACACATACCTCGTATTGATCGATGCTTGAACCTGTACTTGGTGCGTTCCAGGAAACATGAACGGTTGAACTTGATGTGACGTGAACTTGTAGGTTTGTTGGAGTGCCAGGTGGGCTGACAGCTAGCAACAAAGCAATCGAAACTTTTATTCATGTACTCTACATTATTAAAGTGAAGAGCAACTAAACTACTTACTGCTTGCCACTCTGCAGTTAAACTCTCTTGTTTGATGCAGACTCATTATGAGCCTGTTGACACAACTCAGCGACCTGTTTGTAATATTTGCCATTGTAACCCCAAGCAAAAGCGACGCGAAATTTGTGACGTCAACAATACCTTCGAAGCGCGTCCACCATTGTTGACAACATGAATTTCGCTTCACACTTGCATGAAGTATGAACCAGGCTGAACTCGGCCTAATAGAAAGAGATCCAATCCCGCAAACCCGGCAGGGAACCACTAGGGAACTTGAGGGTATATAGAGGTAGGATAAAGATGTGCTCTCTTAACCCTTCGTGGATCAAGACCAAAAACTTTATGCGGAATGCCCACTTGGAGAATTTGATCACCACATGTGTTTATAGGTCACTAACCCTGGCATGCCTGTACATGCGCAAGATATAGGTCATTCACATGGCCAGGGATTGTTTACAACCTGTCTGAGCTCTGGGCGGCACGAGGGGTTGAAACAAAGGGATCGGCGGCACTTGCGGGTTGGCGACTAAGATCTCCCACTACTGCACAAAGGCATTAGGCGCCATCTTGGTTTCTGTCTTTCAACACTCCTTACTCCGGAGTGGCTAGGGTCTGGACAATGGGAGTCTACAGGCTTGTGATGTATAGTAGGGTGAGGATTACATGGAAGCTTGGACTAATTGGCCCATTGAAAAAAAAATTATGCCCATATTTGGAAAATGCGGAGAATTTTATCGTCCGCTCGCTGCGCGAAGGGGGGCTAATATGAAATTAGGCAATTTTGGAATTCTTACCACTGGGTAGAGTGACAGCAGTGGGCTCTGATCTGCCATACAAAACATCACCTTCAGGCAGATGTACAGCGACACTGAACTGATAACTTGCCCCTGGTAGCAGGTTGCTGATGTAGTAATTCGTAATGGAACCACCATGTGCCACATCCTTTATCACATTCTCTGGAAAAAGGGGGCCATGGTCTTGAACCCTCCTGTTTTTTTGTTATTTTTATAAAAAAGGCAAGAATAAAAAATGAAATTAAATATTCATCACAAGTCATCACAATGATTTTTGTCATCAAGAGTCGTCACAAGTCATCGCAAGCAATCACAAACTGTTGCAAACATTCAAAAGTCATCACGTCATGCCAATAGTCTTTACAAGTTATCACTAATCATCCCTAGTTAACAACAGTCATTACAAGTTATGACAAGTTATCAAGAGTTATCAACAGTCATCCCAATAGTGATCACATGTTATCAACAGTCATAACAAGTTATCATCAGTTATCACAAGTTATCCAGTCATAACAAGTTATCAAGTCATCACGATTTATCAAAAGTTGTCACAAATTATGAAGTCATCACAAGTAATCAATAGTGGCCACGAGTTATCACCAGTCATCATAACTTATCGACAGTCACTACAAGTTATCAATAGTCATCACAAGTTATCAATAGTCATCACAATTTATCATCAGTCATCACAAGTTATTTACAGTCATCGTAAGTTATCAACAGTCATCATAATTTATCAAGTCATCACAAGTTATCAATAGTCAACACAAGTTATCAATAGTTGTCACAAGTTATCAATAGTCATCAAAAGTTATCAACAGTCATCATAAGTTATCAACAGTCATCACAAGTTATCAGCAGTCATCACAAGTTATCAACAATCATCACAAGTTATCAATAGTCGTCACAAGTTATCAAGTAGACATCACAACTTATCAACAGTCATTACAAGTTATCAACAGTCATCATAACTTATCAACAGTCATCACAAGTTATCACCAGTCATCATAACTTATCAACAGTCATTACAAGTTATCAATAGTCATCACAAGTTATCAATAGTCATCACAACTTATCAATAGTTGTCACAAGTTATCAATAGTCATCAAAAATTATCAACAGTCTTCACAAGTTATCAACAGTCATCACAAGTTATCAACAGTCATCAAAAGTTATCAATAGTCGTCACAAGTTATCAAGTAGACATCACAACTTATCAACAGTCATTACAAGTTATCAACAGTCATCAAAAGTTATCAACAGTCATCACAAGTTATCAGCAGTAATCACAAAATATCAACAGTCATTACAAGTTATCAACAGTCATCACAAGTTATCAACAGTCATCACAAAATATCAACAGTCATTACAAGTTATCAACAGTCATCAAAAGTTATCAACAGTCATCACAAGTTATCAGCAGTCATCACAAAATATCAACAGTCATTACAAGTTATCAACAGTCATCACAAGTTATCAACAGTCATCACAAAATATCAACAGTCATTACAAGTTATCAACAGTCATCACAAGTTATCAACAGTCATCACAAGTTATCAACAGTCATTACAAGTTATCGATAGTCATCACAAGTTATCAACAGTCATCACAAGTTATCAACAGTCTTCAAACCCCAAAATGGGGCCATTACAGTGCACTCATTCGCTCAAGAATACGGCCCATAGAGCTAGAGACGTTAGGATCATGCTGAACTTACCGATAGTAGATGTAGTAATTGTAGGATGCTTGGGGCTCAGGTGAGGGCTCATAGAAGAAAAGTCCCACTGTCGTTGTATTTGTGGGACTGCCAAATAAGTATCTAACATGGTATTTGCCTGTCAGTGAAATGACAAGTTTCATAGATGTGTAACAGATTTCAGTGCCGATCCCATCACCAGAAAAAAAAAATTAAAAAGGCTGAATTTATCATGTAGAACATAAGAGAGAAAAATGCTCAAAAGATTCTCTTTGTGGGACTAAGACACATTTTCTATTTCAAGTGTATACAGGCATGCAACTGGGAAATCACAAAAAAAGAGGAAATTCAAATTTTTTCCAGACTTTGTACAGTGTTTTTCTAATTTCAATGGCACACATGGGAAGTAAAAAAAGAGGAAATCAGCTGATCCGAGGAAAAGTTGCATGCCTGTGTATAAGATGCAGTAGTATAAACACACACGTATTAAAGATTAAGTACATCATTTGTAATTTGTGTATTTTGTTTTCATTTGAACAACAAAAGTACTCAAATTCTAAAGAAGGGTACCGGTGTTTAACAACCAACCCGATGACGTTTCAGCTCAGTGAATGTTGTATATTCTGAGAAAAACAATATTCTAGGATCTCAATTTCAAATCAGAAGTTGCAGATTCATGTTTTAAAGTATACCCGAATCCAGTATCCGGGATACGTTCTCATTCAGCCGACTGCAGCTACGCGACGTCGCGCACTGAACTGACGAATAATAGCAACTGTGCGTGCTTGCATATTGTTTCGCCAATGAAAAAATTTACAAACTAACGGAACTGTAGGTACTGTAGGACATTTCGAAGAAAAGACATTTAATTTTGGGGTTTTTAATTTTTTTTTTTTATTACTGTCTGTATTTTTTTTTTGAAGTCAAAATAAATAATAAAAATAATAACATATGCGCATATTTTTCTAAGATGCATGCTATCGATGTTGAGTTTCGAGCTTGTATACTGATAAAAATATCCCACCAACATACAATGTACCTTGCAAAACGCACGCTATTTTATCTTTTCTGGACGTTGTGATAAACTCAAACTCCTTTCAATACTTGTCACTATAAAATTAGTAACCAAAATGTTCTCATATAAGGCGATTTTTCATTTGAGAAAGCCCTTCCGCCCCCCTCCCCGGATCCGCCCTTAGACTCTTTAAGACCTCACCCAACTCCTACTTACCACTGCAATCACCCTCATCCGTGCCATCTATGCAATCAGCATGTCCATTGCAGACCTTCCAGGAAGGGATGCACGATCTACCGTCACATTGGAATTGGAATTCATTGCAATAACCGGACGATGTCGGGACAATGTGAGCTACGTGAAAAGGGAAGTTGAAGTCAAGATGTTAATAAGCTCTGTGCACAAGTGCCCCCTCGACGGTAAGAAAGAGAGAGTTTGGGGAGACCACTGGGAGAAAGAGAGAGTTTGGGGAGACCACTGGGAGAGATATTCAAATGCACTGCCGACAATGCCCGACGTTCACGCGACACTAAGTTGTTCTTACTTCGCGCACCACACGCATTAACCAGTACACGTGGTGGGTCCACTGCCCGTGACGGAAGTGGACTCTGATATTTTTGCTTGAAATTTGAGGTACAGTGGAATGCCGCTATAACGAACATCGCGAGATCCTCAGAAATTGCTCGTAACAGCGACTGTTTGGTGTAGCGATTTTAAGCTGCTGGTGCTTCAGTACTCACTTTTCAATAAATAGCGCCCTTCAAAACTTCAGCTTGCACACCGCAGTAGTTACTGAAAGACGACTTGGAACTCGTACCGACTACTGAATAATGTAATTACACAGTTTTTGAATTGTACTACCTTCAGCAATGAGAGGCTTTCCCGTTCTATTCCTTGTGGAAATAATAGCCACTTGTCAGTCTTCTTGGCACATTTTGTACACGAAAATCGGGAGCCAAGGACATTGTTCTGTATAGCTGAATGTTTAGTATAGCGGTGTTCGGTATAGCGACCTTCCACTGTATACAGATATACATGTACAAACTTGCATGGCGCCAATTATGTTATTTACAACTTGAAACAAAAGGCCTGAACAGTATTCAAAATACTCGACTAGTGACTGTTCTTGAGCATCGTCTAATTAACAGCTTTAAATATGGGATAGCAACTGGCCACCAAGTTTAACGAGAGCAGGATCTAGTGTAGTCGACATAGGTGGCCAATGGTTTAATAAGGGTTAACTTGGTCACGCGTGACTCATCACGTCATTGAGTAATCATACAAGCCACTTCTGCAGAACTCTGCCAATATCCGCTCTGTTCCATAAAACATATTTACATCTTTTCAAACTTACTGGAGCAATCAACTTCGTCGCTCTGATCTTCACAGTCAGGAATACCGTTGCAGACATATATCCTGGGTACACACCCGGAGTTGTCTACACATTTGAAGTAATCACTGCGACAATTAAGAGGTGTTGTCCACATTGGGGGTTGCCATGTTGATGGAATATCTTGAAAACAAAATTGAAACAAAATTAAAAGCAAAATTTGCACAGCTGGAAGACTGGAAATCTTACCACAGGAGAAGGTAACATCAGATAAGTATTTTTACAGGCCAACTTGCAGGCAAGCAAATGCATTACAATGCAAGAAAATGCACTGCAATGCAAACAAATGCACGGCAATGCAAGCAAATGCATTGCAAGCAAAAAAAACCCCAAAGAAGTACATTTGTCATGAAGTTTACAAAAATCCATAAAATAATCGACATCTAGTTTGTGGGTCGCCAATGGCGCATGAGCAACGAAGGGTCTAGCGTATATGTCTGTATTTGCCAAGAAAGGCACAAAAAATACCCATTTCTTTTTTGTTCCAAATAAATAAAAACACCTTACAGTAAAACCGCATGCATTCCAGATTCTTAAGATTTTTTTTTAGAATCCTGCAATCAGACCAAAAATCCTGACCACAGAAATCTTGAAATCAGAAAAAAAAACACCTTATGAAAACTTCTCAGAACATTACATACAATTTGAAATTAGCCATTCCTTTTCTTCTTGGGATTGCCTGGAACAGGTTGCATGTAATTTGCCTTTTATGACATGGCCTTAAAAGAAAATGAGGGCAAAAGCGGATCAAATAGGGGTTGTGGGGTTGACCCCATGGCGTCATGGGCCAAGTTTGGCTTGTTGCTATATACTTAGATGAAGATGAAGATGAAGATGAAGATGAAGGTCAAGATGAAGATGAGGATAAAGATGAAGAGGAAGAGGAACAGGAAGACGAAGAGGAAGATGAAGAGGAAGAGTAAGATGATGAGGAAGATGAAGAGAAAGATGAAAATGAGGATAAAGATGAAGATGAAGAGAAAAATGAAGATGAGGATAAAGAGGAAGAGGAAGAGGAAGAGAAAGAAAAAGAGGAAGAGGAAGATGAAGAGGAAGAGGAAGATGAAGAGGAAGATGAAGATGAAGAGGAAGAGGAAGATGACGATGACGATGAAGATGAGGATAAAGATGAAGAGGAAGAGGAACAGGAAGATGAAGAGGAAGAGTAAGATGATGAGGAAGATGAAGAGAAAGATGAAAATGAGGATAAAGATAAAGATGACGAGGAAGATGAAGATGAGGATCAACAGGAAGAGGAAGAGGAAGAGAAAGAGAATGAGGAAGAGGAAGATGAAGTAGAAGAGAAAGAGGAAGATGAAGAGGAAGATGAAGATGAAGATGACGATGAAGATGAAGATGAAGATGAAGATGAAGATGAAGATGAAGAGGAAGATGAAGAGGAAGAGGAAGATGAAGAGGAAGAGGAAGAGGAAGAGGAAGATGAAGGTGAAGTTGAAGATGAAGGTGAAGATGAAGATGAAGGTGAAGGTGAAAATGAAGAGGAAAGGGAAGAGGAAGAGGCAGAGGAAGATGAAGATGAAGATGAAGATGAAGAGGAAGATGAAGATGAAGCTGAGGATGAAGATGAAGATGAAGAGGAAGATAAAGATGAAGAGGAAGATGAAGAGGAAGGGGCAGAGGGAGATGAGGATGAAGATGAAGAGGAAGATAAAGATAAAGATGAAGATGAAGATGAAGATAAAGATGAAGATGAAGATCTGACAAAAGTAACAGAGTTATTTCTGCAGCAGAACAGAGAGGATATGTGGGGATAAACAGAAGTTAACTATTACCTGTGGGGCAATTCTGTTCGTCACTGTTGTCTCCACAATCGTCGTAATGATCACAGAGATAAAACTCAGGGATGCAGGCAACAGGTGCTCCAGGGGCGCAGGGTGCCTGCCAAGGGGCACAGGTGGGGCGCTGACTGGGAGGGGCAGTAGCTACACAGACAAAAACCCAAATATTAAAGAAAACATGTGTCTGCTTACCATTGTAATGTCTTTGTTTGTCTTTTAGGTTTTTGTTTGTTTGTGTTGTATCTGTTAGCTGTTTTCCACAAGCTTTTGCTTATTAAAACAGCTCCATGTTCTATTTGCTTCTTTTAGTTTGCTGTTAATTTGATATTTACTGCTTTTTATTTCTTGTTTAACCCTTTTCTCTAAAGTTTGTATATATTTTTTTCTTCATGAAGCATGGAAAAAATGTGAAGTTGAACTGAAATGAATGGAAACATGCAAATGGAAATTCAGCTCATCTTGTTTTCATGCACATTACTATGTGTTGCAACAATACATGTTTTCATTGGATGTGACAAGAAAGTGGTAATTTTTCAATTACGAGTATAAAATCCTTTTAACACATGCAAAAAGAGGGTGTTATTTTTGCTTTTGTCACACTAGGTAGGTACTCTTTGTCAAACAAAAGTGCATATGAACAGTACAAAAATTAGTCCTTCAAAACTTACCCACAAAAAAAGTTTGGAAGAAATATTGGCCACTACTAAACTATTTTCCAAATAAGCTTTTTAACATGATAAACAAATAAAAAGGGGAACTTTCTGCAAGATAATGAAGAAATGTTTGACATATATTTGTACACAAGAGCTGTAGAGACACTACCGTTCTGCCTTGAATAACATCACGCTGTGGCTCATGAATGTGGAAATTTTCATCAGCATAAAAACTAAAATGTTGAAATGTCTCCTTTTACTGCCACAAAGGAGGTAGAAAGTCATAGTAACATAGCAAGAAAGCTGTTTTAAATGTATTTAAGTCATGAAATTCCTATTGTATGTGTCCTTTAAGGCCTTGCAACCGTAAAATGTACCAAAATGTAAAAGTCCATCATGTTTTCAGAAATTGTTGAATAGGAAATCTTCATCCACAAAAAACGCTAATTTTGTTTGTTTGAGATTTTCATTGCAACTTACATCCACAATGTTCGTCTGACATGTCTCCGCAATCATTGTCGCCGTCACATTGCCAGTAACTTGGGATACAGTAGCCGTTAGCACACCGGAACTGAAACTGATTACAGGTTTGTGGTGGCTCAGTACCTGCAAAAGTCAAAATGAGACCACGGTAACCAGTAACTGAGTAAATTTGGTACATGCCTGGATCTGTTGTGGATTTGGTTTCAGTCCGAGCCAAATTCTGTGACAGCATCATGTTAGGGGAGTCAGCTTGGGTACTTTCCTCGCCTTCCACCGATTTGGTCAGGGTTCGATCCCTAAATGGACCACATGTGGATTGGGTTTTCAGTCCGAGCATGATTCTGTGGGTCTTTCCCCACAATATTCTTCTGGGGTTTTCCTACTACATCCAAAAAACCCTTTAATTTCTTCGCATTCTCTTCTCTCTAAATGATTCTTCAGGCTTTCGAGCTACAGTGCCTAGAGTACTTTGAGAAAGCCTTGGCTAATAGCAGAAAGAAATAAAACTAGACTTTGTGGGCAAACACTTGGCTGTTTCGGCATTTTACTTTTTTATTTTGATGACATGTTATGGACTGATAGCCATGTACAAGTAGAAAATGCAGTGTGAAAAATAAAAATATATATTCGTTGTTCCTATGAAAATCTGGTGTCTTCTATGGCCCTTTAAGACCAACAGTAAAACTAATGAAAAAGTGGAATGAAAATTAAGCAGGTCATAGCATGCTGTGATCAAAATCAAGGTTGGACTGGTGAAAACTGCAGGGGCTATTAGCTCAAAAAAACTCAAAATCAAAGGTGTTTTGACACTGTTGCCAAATTCAGAGACAAACATTTGCAATTTGAATAGTTAAAATGTTATGTATTGCATTCTTATGAAATCATGAGGACATCACACATTTCTCACAATTTTGTACAAAAAATTTATGACCTACTGGTACTGAGCTATAACAAAAAAAGGATAATTGCATGTTCTATTTGTCAAATATGCTAATAACTTGTAATAAGGTTTGAAAATAAAACCAATGCATCAAACACCACATGGTGAAATCATCATGATGATCTGTAAAATAAACATGTATACCCAAGTACTTATATTCGTGCAAGGTTTCAAGCCAATCGGACCCGTCGTACTCAAGATAATGGACTTCACAGTTTAAGTCTTAGTCACATAATGGAGGGTGACATCATAATATCACTTATTAAGGTACACCTTAGTTCTAGGTCTTTGTCCTTACCAAGTTTTATGTTGACGTGATAATAAATGCCAAATTTGTGAAGTGGTAAAAAATTACATTTAGTACTACAAAGTTTGTTTAAATTATTGAAAAAGTTCATTTTATCATCACATCCTATTGCATTGTAACATAATAGCAACATCTATTTACTCACCAAGTTTCATGACTTCCCCCTTGGTGCCCCCCCCCCCCCCCCCCCTCTCTCTCAATGTCCGTGAGCCCAATCCAAAAAAACCAAAACTCCTTACCGCAATCAAATTCATCTGAGCCGTCAACACAATCAGGGTACCCGTCGCATTTCCAACTGGCAAAGATGCATTCTCCATTCAAGCAATGGAAATCCCAGGGATGGCACGAGTGCTCGGGGAAAATCCAAGTTGTCGGTTGCAGTGTCGTCACTGCCAAAGAAAATGGGTCAAATACCATTTGTCTATAGAGTTACCGTTACGGCAGGTTTGAAATTTGTGCCTGCATCAAGAGTTCCCATCAATTTTGTGTGTGACATCATCACTTTGTACTCACTTCTAATATTTGATACAAGAACATGACATACAACTACAGTGGACTCTCGTCAGTACAAACATTGGTCCCGACTGTGCATTTATGGGCACAGTGAATGGGACTGATGTTCCTCTTAATACAAAATTCTGATATAACAAACAATTTGGCTACGTCCAAACGAGTTTGTATTAACGAGACTCGACTGTACATTGAATATACATATGTACGTGTGGAGGCTGATTAACACAGGATCAATATGTATGAATTTCCATCTTTTCACCCAAAATGTCCTGAAATTAATTAATTATATCAACCTCTCATTCTAAATTTTATGATGTGCCAGAAAGGTTGTATTATGTCCGGTCAGCGTCACCATTGTAGTAGGCAAAGAGCGTATAGCGCCATGCGCAATAGGTAGTAGGTACATGTTCATCTTCAAAGCTGTGTTTGACGGCAAAAACTGTGAAAATTCGGGGCCAACAACAGGGCTGGATTATAACAAACGTACACGACACAGTTGGTGAGCATTATGCCATTTGATAAAATTTGCAGTTATTTTACATGAAATAAAACCCTACTGTCTAGTTTCAACAAAGTGGACAGATCACGGGAGACCAGATGGTCAAGTGGTACTTTGATGTCATATGATAGGACCTGTTACAGCGAGACACTGGACAAACATATGTTAGAGTCATTAATATCTCTCCAGAGACCTCGTAAATATCCATATTGGAAAGGATTTTTTTTTACGTCGGCCTTCTCTCCACAGACCACCTTTCAAGTTTGGTTGAGATTGATGACTAAACTTCACAGCGAAATGGAACACGCACACACTTAATGGTTTTGGTGAGTTGTGATTCATTTTGTTGGATTGATTTGTAAGAATTGAAATTAAAAGGAAAACAAAACACAACTCACTGAAACAGTTGGCTTCATCTGATCCACCCGTACAATCATTATAACCATCGCAGCGCCACGAAATAGGGATACAAGTACCATCTTGACACCGAAACTGATCGAAGGAACTGCAAGGTGGCCGTGTTCCTGCGGGGAAAAAAGTAAGCGTTAAATCATCAGCTGATTTCACAAAACAGTGTGTAGTTCAGGCCTTGCATAGGACTTGTGCAACAAATTTATTGCATAGTTGCCTAATAAGCTTATGATTTATTTCCCAAAAATTGGCGTAGCTGCGCAACAATTGAAATAATCTAAACATCTTGGACGAGTATAATAAAAGCAATACAACAGTTGTTCGAGTGTGATTTTGTTCATGAAACAGTAGTGGAATTACCTCCATACACAACTTTGCAATATTTTTGTCCGACTTTCTTCAGAATCATGCAACAACTTTGAAACTCTGTCAAGAATGAACTATTTGAGGGGTTAGTATAATAGATAAAATATTGTTACACTGACATGTTTGAGGTTTTGTGTTCGAAAATGCTGGAAAAAACTAGAAAAAAAAACAACAAAAAAGGTCAAGTAATCTGGTTCCCTGACTCCACTAAAGATGAAATGGATAAATTTATAGATGCCGGAAAATTGTAAGATAAAGGAACCAGTCTAGCTGGCCTGCACCCGTTCATGAACATGTAACCAATAGCAAACAAAAATTGGACTGTCGTAAATTTGGAGCAGTAGTTGAAAACCAGTTAGGTTTTTCCAACAGTGTAGGCCGACCACCGTTGGAAAATTGTACAAAAATACCACTTTTCTTGAACATGACTTCACACCAGGTGCCATAATTTTACAGGATGCTTAAGACTGTCATTTACCAACATCCTAGTCAGATTTTTTGAAAAAAAATTGGTAGCTCTGAATTTCGATGTTTGCAAATGTTGTATATTGCCTTTAAAACAAAAGCTCACCACAGTTTCTTTCATCAGACATATCTCCACAGTCATTGTCGCCGTCACATATCCAGCCGGAGGGGATGCAGCGTCTGTTGTCGCACTGGAACTGTGACGAACTGCAGGTACCAGCGTAGGGTGTAGTGGGTGCTATGTGAAGGAAAAAAGGTCCCGTAAATCAAGTTCTTATCAATCAAGTTCTTATCAATCAAGTTCTTATCAATCAAGTTCTTATCAATCAAGTTCTTATCAATCAAGTTCTTATCAATCAAGTTCTTATCAATCAAGTTCTTATCATTTCTTCAAAATCTTCATTAGAAATCATTTCCAGGAGTGTGAGTGACCACTGAACAAAAATAGCTGAAAAAGGTGTAAAAAAGCTGAACTTTGCGAATACATTTGTACACTGCAAGTGAGGGGAAAAAAGCTGAAATCCGAAACAAAAAAAGCTGAAATCAGCTTTAAAGCTGAGATTTCACACCCCTGCATTTCATTAACCCACCCAGAGCAATTTGTGAATCACTTAAAAACAATGCAGGTTGGTTTCTGGTGAAGGGATATAAAGAGTTAAAGTAACTGTGTCACTCAGAGAGTCACTGCACAAAACAAATCACCGCAGAGTGCAATGAATTAAACGTGGCCAACTAATGATAATAATAATAATGTGGTGCTCATATACATGTAGTTCTTTATACCTTGGGTTATACCAAAGCACTTTACAATAAAGGAGTTCGGTATTCCTAAATAGTCTGGTGTAGAGCATGATTTGACAACTTTTTTTTTTTTTTCAGAATAACCGCGGCAGATAAATGCACACAAAGGCTATGGGGGAAGTGGTAACTTATCATTCGGTTCAATTTTGCTGGTACGACGCTACACTTTTTCACGCATACCATAAATCTTTATCCCAAAAGAAAAATCGGCAAATCTTTGTAAGGGGGAGGGGAAGGGGGTTTAAAGGGGGTATTTACCCCCCCCCCCATTTTGTTTTGTAAAGACTGCCCTTTTTCTATTCAAATACCCCTTTTTTACCAGCATTTACCCCCACTCCCCCAACATTTGTAAAGAGTGCCCTTCTTTTGTTAAAACATGCCCTTTTTTCCCTGAACAATTGCCCTTTTTTTATAATAAATCATACCAGTTGGAAATTCATCCATTGAGAAGCAGTGAATTTGTTGAAGAGCAATGGGAGTGTGACTTTAAACAAACAACGATCCCAACTTACGGGTGGGGGATGAGCAATGAGCTTCATCGGAGTAATCACGACAGTCATTGTCTCCATCACACTTCCAAGTTAGTGGGATACACCGGCCGTTATCACATAAAAATTGGCTACTAGAGCAGGATGCATAGGCTGTTCAATACAAAACAAAACAACAACAAAACTAAAGCTATGTCTGTTTGATGAACAGATCATAAATGGCTTTTCCGCATTTCACGTTTTTCAGATTTACGCTTTGTTTGTCCATGCCCAATCATGTTCTATAATGTTCAATTTTATGTACCATGTATGAAAAAAACCTTCTTTGATTCACATACTTCTTTGTCATACCCAAGTTTGAGCTCTAACTTTCTGAAATACAATCCAGCCTTGAATTAAGACTAGCCATCTCCACACATTCTATGTTAATTTATAGTACGATAGAGTGAAGTTTCAATATACATGTATGTATATATATGTCATTGCAATATTTGTTAAATGTAAATTCCATACAAATAATATCAACAAAGAAATAATGTTTACTTTGTAAATTAAAGCTGTTATTTTTTTTCATTACATACTATTGTTCACAAACGGCAGACTTAAATGTACAGGGATTTGGTTTCCATCTTATTTGAGAGGTTATTTCTAAACTGTGTCATACCTACTTTTACATTGACATTTAAAACAAAAATCAAGATTTATATCTCTCAGGGTTGATTTTTCAGGAATTTTCAAAGGTCTTTCATTTTAACTTCTGATCTGATGACATCATCATTTTTTAAGTGTACAGGTGTTCTCTGCATAAAGGTCACCATATCGGTATACAATTTGGAAGCAATAATAATCAACTGAAAATTCACTTGAACATTTTTCATTCTGCCGCAAGAAGGGTGTTCTAACATTTTATGACGTCACCAGTCTTTTTTTTTCTTCTAAAGTATATCCTAGCCAGAGACTCACATCGTTGAAAGCAAGTACACATCTTTTTAAACTTTCAAATTATAAGGCACTTCTGGTTTGCTCGTAATATCAAAAATGAAGACCCTGGATTATTCTATCAATTCCCGTAAAAGCAAAATCAGATCTCTCACAGTTGATTTTATATTGATTTTCAAAGATTAAATCTAGAAACACGTGGTTGCTTTATCTGATACCTGATGAGTCATGATGACGTCATTACCAGAAAGCTTGAGAGCTACGTTAACTGTGCTATTTGAATCAAAAATCTGGATTTATCTCTCATGGTTGATTTGCCATCAATTTTTTAAGGTTTAAAGCTTTTGTTCATTGCAACTTCTGGTCTGGTGACGTCATTTTCCCCCTCAACTTGTTCTTAGCATGAAGCCGATTATACAGATCAATTACAAAGTGATTTTAGCAAATTTCGCCACACACATCAACTGATTATTCATTTTAAACGTTTTTCAGGCTTCCGCCAGAGGGTGCTGAAACATTTTTCTTTTTAAAAGTACAAACTAGCCAGAGAACACTGTTGAAAGCAAGTTCACATCTTTGTCCACTTACAAATTATAAGGCACTTCCGGTTCGGATCACAAGGAAGGGTCACATGATTAGGCACACGGGAGATAAGGTGAAGATCCTGGATTATACTATAAATTCCTCAAAAATCTAGTTCAGGTCTCTTACTGTTGATTTTATATTGATTTTCAAAGATGAAATCTAGAAATCTTTCATTGCTTGTAATTTGATACAAGACAATGTCATCATGACGTCACCATGACGCCACCTTGTTGTCCTCTAGATATAAGCCCTCAAAAGATAAACATTTAAGATGACATCACATGTCACATGATGACGTCATCATGATGTCATTTGTCCATGCACAAGTTCTTAATTCAGAAATTCTGAATTGCGGGGCTGTACCTAGGTTGATGTCCATATGTGCAGTGTGTACATGGCATGGGTGTGTCAACAGAGTGTGCCTGGTCACCTGAGGTTTGGACAATAGACCGCTTGCAGACGCGATCGATAATTGACGCGCGAAGGTGCGCGACGCCATGTTATGGGACAAAATGTGCATGGATAGGTATACGCCTGTCCCACAACATGGCGTCGCGCGCCTTCGCGCGTCGATTATCCAACGCATCTGCAAGCGGTCTATTGCCTGAAGAGGTCAACCAGATAGTGCAACAGTGGGCTGGGTAAAAGATAAACAACACAATCCTGGTATGGAAAAGAACCTGGGCCCAATTTCATAGCACTGCTTAACAGTAAGCAGAACAGTTGTGCTTACTATAGCAGAAAATCATGCTGCTGCTTAAGCACTACTTCATGCCGTGAATGTGCTTACAGTTGCGCGCGCATGGAGATTTCTATTGTTACGTCACTGATTTAAGCAAAGTTTTCTTCTGGGGTTAAGCGTGCTTTTGCTGTGCTTACTGCTTAACAGTCCCTATGAAATAGATGGAGGCTCGGTAAGCACAAAGTCGGCTGTTAAGCAGCGCTATGAAATTGGGCCCTGGTTCTTACATATAAAAGGCAAAATCCCCTCATGACGTTTGAAAAATAATGATATGTGGGTTTGACTCCGATTGAGGTAATTTTTTTCTGTAAAATGGATGAATAAAGGATGGGGTCACTTACTGCAGTTAGCTTCATCTGACATGTCTCCGCAGTCATTGTCAAAGTCACACTTCCATTGCACCGGGATGCAGTTCCCATTGGTACACGTAAATTCATTCGACTTGCAACCCTGGTATGCTACAGAACACAAACAAAGTGGGTCACATGTCACACACCGGTATCACATGTCACATCAAATGTCACTCAATGCATGTCATGTTAATCAGTAGTCCGAAAATTTGGGACTCTCAATACTGTGTATGAGAGTCCCAAAACTTAAGGTATTGAAAACATGCAAAAACAGAAACTAGACTGGTACCTGAAACAACCAGTCCAACACAGCTTCAGTACTGCATCAATCAACCATGCCAAAAGAATTTAAGAAACATGTGACATGAAGCGGGAACAAGTCTCAATTTACTACACATTTCTCCATAGTCAAGCCACCAGACTATTGACACTGAAAGAAGAGGTCAGTCTTTTCAAATAGTTGGACCATGGATGGACATGTACCAGTTCAGTATTTCATGTATTTAGCCCCATTTTAAAATCACTTGACTTCCCTCTCATGTGCAAAATATTGAAGAAAAGTCTCCTTTAAAAATGGAATTGAGTCTGCAAACTTGGTTGGTGAAATACTGAGGACATTTTCTTTGCCCCAGTGGAATTTTTGGAGAAATTTGCTGCCTAAACTGTGAGTAAAGTGGGCCTGATTTAGTTTTGCACGTTTCAGAGCACTCCAGAGCCCTGTCTGGTTAATCAGGTGGCACCATGGTTAGGGCTGTGCATTGGAACTGGATACCCGGGTACCCGACTGCTCATGTTAGGAACCAGTCCCAGATTGTGGAATCGAGTACTCGTAATACTACTTAGCGACTTCTCAGACAATGAAAAAGAAAGATTTTGGATGTCATTTTTTGAAGTTTTCACAATGAAAATCATGGAAAACAAAACAGATTCACGCTTACGACACTTGCGAATATGCACTGTCCACCGTAAAGCTACAGAGCTCACTAAACAGACTTGCATTTTTCCGTACTGACGCACCAATAAAGGAGTAATGCTAGTATAGTATTGTACGACCAAGAAATGCAATGCGAACAGAAAATTGCAGGATTAATATTTACGGGATTGGATTTTTTTAACAGGTACCTATAGGTACCCGATATTTTTCCTAATCGGGTACCCAATTTCCGTAGTACCCGTAAATGCACACCCCTAACCGTGGTGCACATTCCACTTGTTAGGTGTCACAAGCTCTGGTAAAGATCTTGCCACTAATTCAACTCTTGCCACTAATTAAACTCTTGCCACTAATTAAACTCTTGCAACTAATTAAACTCTTGCCACTAATTAAACCCTTGCCACTAATTCAACTCTTGCCACTAATTCAACTCTTGCCACTAATTCAACTCTTGCAACTAATTCAACTCTTGCAACTAATTCAACTCTTGCAACTAATTCAACTCTTGCAACTAATTCAACTCTTGCCACTAATTAAACTCTTGCAACTAATTCAACTCTTGCAACTAATTCAACTCTTGCAACTAATTCAACTCTTGCAACTAATTCAACTTTTGCAACTAATTCAACTCTTGCCACTAATTCAACTCTTGCCACTTATTCAACACTTTACATGTCAACTGTCAAGTGCCTTTAAGACGTCTGTTGTTGGCTATCACAAGCTCTGATTTAATTTTTTTCACAAAACTGTCATTCATAGCATGTTATGGTCAAAGGTTTCAGTTCAAGCGCCACACTAGGTGCCAGGCTATCTCAAGCTATTACCAGGCTTTTGCCAGTTGTCATAAGTGGAACGCTGCTATAACGAACGTCGTGGGATCCACATAAAGTGTTTGTAATAACGATCGCTGGGTATAGCTATTTTGAACCGCCGGTACCCTCTTTTGACCAAAAGTGAACTGGCATTCCTCACGAGTGGTTTTCCCTTCTATTCCTTGGGGAAATAATATTCATATAACTCTTCAGCATTCAAACACGATGTAACTATGGGTTGTTTGATGTTCGGGAATTAAAAGTGGCCCAAATAATGTTCAATTCACGTACAACCGGTAGATTTTTTGTTAATCTGTTGACTTTTTTTCAACAACAATGTTCGGGACCTTCTTGTACATTAAAACGGGGAGCCAAGGATGATGTTCTGTACAGCCGAACATTCGGTATAGCGGTGTTCGGTATAGCGGCGTTCCACTGTATTGTGTTGTGCTATGTGTCCAATGGGTCAAGGGCCAGGAGGTCTGGCCTTTGTGCAGCTTGGGCCCCGACTTTTGTTAGTTAAAACTCACGTCCAGTCACTTGTCATATCACAGGCATGCAACTGGGAAGTCACCCAAAAAGAGGAAATTTAAATCTTTCCAAGACTTTGTACAGTGTTTTTCTATTTTCAATGGCACACGTGGGAAGTAAAATAAAAAGAGGGAATCAGCTGATCCGAGGAAAATTTGCATGCCTGATATCATTTGCCAAGTGTAAACATGTCGAGTGTGATGTCTGAGGGTCAAGAGCCATGGCCCTTCTTAAATACCAATTGCCATGTGTCACATGTCACGTGTCTGGTAAGAAGTGTCGCATGTCACAGGCTTTTGTTCAGGTTCTGGTCACCTGCAATACATTACATGTTATTTTGTCATATATCATGTTAGCCCCATAAATGTGGCCTATTTACTGGACTGCCTCCGTAAACATAGGCCACACATCCACATGTACAAAAACGTGTCGACTTTGCCAAATTTTGATTTTCACATTTAGGCTTACTTTGTAGGTTTTTTTTGCTGTAGAAGCATTCTCACCCTCTATATAGGCTAATCAGAAAGTGCTGCCTTTTTCAGATGTTCATTTTTTGTGAAATTTCATGTTGAAATTTTGATACGCAAACGTGTGCAAATGTATCTGGAAATTTTACAAAAAATGAACATCTGAAAAAGGCAGCACTTTCTGATTAGCCTATATAGAGGGTGAGAATGCTTCTAAAGCAAAAAAACCTACAAAGTAAGCCTAAATGTGAAAATCAAAATTTGGCAAAGTCGACACGTTTTTGTTCATGTGGATAAGTGGCCTATGTTTACGGAGGCAGTCCAGTAAATAGGCCACATTTATGGGGCTAATATCATGTATGTCCTCTCTAGAAAGGCCAACTTCATTTTAAAAAAAGTTAAGACTTACGGCAGTCCAATTCATCGGTCATATCCCCGCAGTCATTGTCGTGGTCACATCGCCATGCCCCTGGTATGCAGTTGCCATTGCCACATGCAAACTGGTCAGGATGGCAGGTTTGTCCTAAAAAAAAAAACATCATGCAAACAAAAAGAACAGTTCAACTTCAATGAAAAGTGTGCAAAGAATTTCACAGTGTAATAAGAGAAAACATTTCAAGAAAATACCAGTGTCAAACTGCCTCGTATTTCTGGCTGCCAACTTCCACGTGATGCAACGGTGATGTTATTCAATAAGACCAGGGGCTTATTTCAGGAAACCCTAAGACACGTCTTAGGAAGGGTTACTTGTCAAAAATTGATATAAAATCACACGATGACGTCACCTCAATTTTTACCTATAACACATCCCGGTGCCCTACATACCGAGTTTGAACCCAATCGGACTTACAGTCCTTTAGATATAGGGTCTTAAAATTTGCACATTTAAGATGACGTCACCTGATCCATGATGACGTAATCATAAAGTCACTCTTCAGGAAACATACTCACTATGGGGTTTTCACATAGGTTAGGTTTCATTAGGAAAACGAGTTTAGGTCAAAAGTGCAAGGCCAAATAAACGAGTACAAAGTCTATGTGATTTGGGGTGGAACAAAAAAAAAAAAAACAATCAGAACAGAAACAATCCTTTCCGCTTTCAAGCAGAAAAGCAAAAAATCAAAACTAAAACATTGGCTTTTCTGCAAAACAAAAAGCCAATAAGCTCACATTGTTATAAAGGCAACCGACTATAACTGCTAATAATTGTAAGGTCAAACAAGTTTTTGAAATGTAATTGATCCAGTACCAGGGGGAAAGAGCAGCAAGTGGGCTTCGCTCGTACCCCCCGCCCTGCAAACAGGGAACTGGAATACGCTGATGAGCTTCTCAGAATCTTGTGAAGGAAGTGGCCTACGACCTATGTATAAAGCATTTCGCTGCAGCTGTTCAAGACTGCAGTTAGGCAATGCATGTGCGCAAATGCTATCCGAAAACTTTCAATAGAAATGCACACATTCCATACCGGATGTGATTTCTGTTTCATTGCAGACCATGTGGACACAATTTTGAGCGTCGCATAATGCAATTCGACCGTTCGTGATTCGAAACAGAGCCTGAGCAAGTGACAGGAATTGTAAATTTACAACACAGATAAGTTTTACAGAATTTCCTACATTATTACGCTTTTCCACACAAAAAAATCTCTAAACTGGATTAAAAGAGTAATGAATCAGTCTTAAATGGCCCTTTCAAACCTTGCAAAATCCAACCAATCAGAGCGTTAATTCATCAGAGTATCCCAGCGTCATGTTTGCAGGGCGGGGGTACGAGCAAACTAGCGGGCGCGTACTGGGACAAGGTTGCCGACTTACCTGTATTCGGTTTGCATTCACCATTGGGCTGCATGGTCTCACCCGGCTCGCAGTGGCACACTTCACCCCCATCCTGGGATTCAGAGGGGGTGTGGGAGAAACCATCGGCACAGAGACACCTCCTAGATATCTGCCCAGCTACTTTGCCTACGACAGATAGACAGACAAGCACTTCAATACCACCCTTGGTGAAGTAAAATGTACATGGACCGTTTGCGTTCATTTTTTGTCCGTACGAAGCCACAAAAGTGCTCACTGATTTAGTCCCTTTAAGGGCAAGTCCAAGGAAAGTTCCCAATTTTTGGTCCCATAAGTTACGCATGTTTTCTTTGCCATGTTTTCTTAAATTATATAATCATCGCAAAGACTAATAACATAAACGTTCTTGTGGGTATTCTCCTTGCAGATGCCCAACAGTAGAATAAAAAAACACGGAAATCCATGAATACACGTATCTTTAATAGAGGGTTACACTTTTGTTATGTACATGTATGGGACAAAGTGTGTGCAAATTCTTGGATTTGCCTATAGAAGCCATTTCTCCACAATTTGCACTCTTTACCTCATCTTGTGTATCTTCTAAAGGATTTTTCTTTTGATTTTTTGGTAGGGGAAACACTGTGAATATACTACACCATTAGAACAATCCGAATACACCCTTAGGCCAAAACAAAGCGTCTCCGGTTTCTGGTATGGAGCTTGCCCCAAAACAGGTGCGGCAGCGGGGCTTTTTTTTTCAAATGTCGGCTGATGACTGCAAATGTTGCCAGACTAAATTTAGTGCAAAATATATGGGAGTCCAGAGAGGCCACATAAAGCTTTTACTCGATCGTAAACCCATCTAAAAACACGTTAAAATCGTGCAGCAGCAGGATTCCAGTCAAACCAGTGAGTTTGGCGGTTTTCAGACATCATCTTACATTGAAAAAAAAAAAACCTTTACATTTTGCCGACGCGCATGGCTACGGCGACGCGCGCGCATACCAGAAACCGGAGACTTTTTTTTTGGCCTTGCTGCTTGTAGGTGGTTGATGTATGGGCGGCCAAACATAAAAACATTCACGCCTGTTGAAGACAGTGCATATATTGGTTGTGAGGATGCCCCATGTGTGGTTTCTTCATCAAACAAAGTTGGCTATGGTAAGCAGCAGAGGGGGGGGGTTGATTTCTAGTCGACATAAGTGGCCCACAATAAGCAAAGTGTTCATTGCTCCAATAAATTTAATATCTGATTGTTTTGTTCCCAGAAAATGGCATGTTCACAGTGCCTTCATTAGTCTTGGTTCTTGTTCTTGGTTGGTTCATCTCCTAAATACTTCAGGTGGGAGTTTATACAGGAGACCAGAAACACCGGGGCAAACCCCTTCTCTTAGCGACAAGTGTCACTGGGTTCTTTTACGTGCATTGGAATACACAACACACGGGACCTACGGCTTTACGTCCCATCCGAAGGACGAAGCAATAATGGTTAAGTGCCTTGCTCAAGGGCACAAGTGTCCACCCGGCGGGCTCGAACCCACGCCACTGTTGCCTCTGAAACACCAGAGCATGAGTCCGGTGTTCTTAACCGCTAGGCCATGACACTCCATTCTCAAAACAACACGGCCTATTGTGATACCTGGAACGGCGATGCAGAGATGGGTGCAGTTGCCATTGTTAGTCCTGCACGGGTTTTCACCTGCAAAGGGAAAAAGGAGAGCACAAGACAACATGTTTAACTTTGGTCTTCGAAGCAGACTACTGTATGAGCCACAAGGATGTGATCTCAAAATGCAAAAATACAGATGCCCAGTGCCGGAAGCTAGTGGCAAAGCCTCGCCGTACATATTTCATGAGATGGTTCCTTATACATTTGTGTCCTATGTGACACTGGAATGCCACTCTAAATGGAATGCGACTTACCTTGCTGCGAGGAGTTTTGGAAGACCTTGAGGTCCATGACACCGCTTAGGTTACCGATAAGGGTTGTCAGACCCATTCCAGAGTACTTGTTGGCCGTCAAAATCGATTGCAATTGCCAGTCATCCCAGTATATGTTGTCCTAAAAAATTGAAAGTTGAACAAAGGTTTTGACTACATCAGGTTTGAACCTGCGAACAAAGTTGTCATCCGGTGACCAATTCAAGCTCATTGAGCTAAATTACAGGACAATCAACAAGTCAGACCACCAGTTAAATCAAGTCAAATGAAATACACTGTACCTTGTAGACGGCGATTGCATAAGGATGTGGGACACCCTCGCTAATAAGAACCCTGCGGCCACTGCCATCCATATTTGCCACCTCAATTCTGTCCAGGTAGGCATCGGTCCAGTAGATCTGCTGTCTCTCGTCGTCAATGGTGATTCCGTTGGGCCAGTGGATGTTGGTGTTAGCGACCACCACACGGTTTGAACCATCCATTTCCGCTCGCATAATGTTGGCATTAGAACCCCAATCCGTCCAATACATTTTCCTGATCAGAAAAACAAAGCACTTAAATTCAATCAAGAGACTATTTTCAACTACATGTAATAAATAGGAGCAGTATCATCAGGTATATCAGGGATAAATTAAGGGCAAATTTATCTGTAATAATGGGCCAACCTTCACAATTTTAGTTGCAAGATTCAGGACAAGTTCAATGGCATCCTCTCGCATTCTTCCTTACTCTCTGAGGGTAGTTTACTGCATGTCAGTTGGTTATGCCAATGCCCTCCAGCTGCAGTTTATTGGCAGATAGTTTGTCTTAACAGTGAAGGCTCCAATTGGCAGGAGTTGGAGGCCCTGGAGGGTGCCTGATACTGACCAGCTGGGGGCACTCACTTTGTTATCAGAGGACTCTCATTGTTCTCTGTGGCATGTATTGGAGTGCCTGTCCAGTTACCCTTGCAATGACATGGCAGATATTGGAGGGCCATGCAAAAAACATAGGAGATTTTCTTGAGGCACATATTGGCATGCGTTGGAGGGTCTAGTAGGGTAAGGGTTAATGTTTTTAGTGTTAGTTTCTATGCAAAATAATGTTCATTAATACACAATGAAAAGATTTTGGTTAAACTGTTCAGAATTCAGCAATTAATAAACAATAATAATAATAAATAATAATACCGAAGTCTTATATAGCGCACGTATCTACCAACAATTAGGTACTCAGGGCGCTGGAAGGTATAGCTATTATTAGAAACAGGTAAATGAAGTACATGAGAAATAAGAGACCCATAATGTAGCACCTTAAAGGGTTTACAAGGTGCTGTGGCGCATTAAGCAGCCCACTGCCAGAAACACAAGGGGCAAACCCCTTCTCTTAGCGGTAAGTGTTACTGGGTTCTTTAATGTGCATTCCACAACGCACGGGACCTACGGCTTTACGTCCCATCTGAAACAATAATGGTAAAGTGCCTTGCTCAAGAGCACAAGAACCATGTTCCCACGGTCAGGATTTGAACCCATGTTCCACAGCACACGAGTCGAACATAAAGGATACAATGAGGCATTTGGGGACAAACGTGTCCATAAGTTATCATGGCAATTTGATAAGATGACTACGGTACTCACATGAAATAAGACCGACTGTTTGTGAAATATGTGCTTTGCTATGTATTGATTGAAAGTGATCGATAAGCCAGCTGTTGCCCCAGACCACCCTACCTGTTAATCCCTTGTCACACCTGGAACCGCCCCAGTACTGTATTGTCTAATCGATCGCCAGGCAATGAATACAATGTATAGTACATGGGCTTCAGGGTTAACCCTTTCATGCCCACATTGGTTATTGACTTGGCTCTCCCCAGGACCAAATTGTTTGCTCAGTCATGCGGAAATCACTAGAGCGTGAAAAAAATGAGCACGAGTCAAAAACTCACTTTTTTCAACTCAGATTTTCACTGACAAGGAGTGATTAAAATCATAGGTGTTGTGTGTAAAGTTTGTTCCTTGAACCTTACTTTTTTATGTGATGTAAAATGAAGTCCATACGTGCAAATATAAGAAAGTTATGCCTTTTTGTTCATCTGGTCCCAATTATCAAACTGCAAGCCATTTCACCACATGACCAAATGGCACTCCATACCTCAAATTGTGCATGGATACTTCTGAAGCACTTTTCTTGTTTTTTTGTAATGGTAACAATATGAATAAACCACACCAATAGAAAGATCCGAAAATACTCTTTCAGCTGGTGTATAGTTGATGTATGGGCGGCCAAACATATCAACATGCCGCCTTTCTAAAAAGTAGTGAATATATCTGTGTTGAGGGTGTTTTGTGTGTGGTTTCCTGGTTGACTAAAGTCGCCCATGGGAACCAGCAGGGGGGTACTTCTTGTCGACAAAAGTCGCCCATGGTAAGGAAAGGGTTAAATGATCAATACCCTTTTTTGGGATCCAGTGCAATGGCTCGGGGCTGGTCCAGCTGCTGCGTCTCGTTGATGAGCATCCGACGGAATCTCCCATCGTGCCGGGCCACCTCGATTTTCCGCGTGCCAGAGTCCACCCAATAGATGTTCATCGCGATCCAATCAAAGGCCAGGCCTTCCACGGTCTGAAGTCCCACGTCAGCGATCAGGGTATGGTTGCCATTATCCAGGGAGTATTTCTGTGGATGGGGAAGAAAAGGAATGAGTGTTGCGTACGACCTGCCATTGACGTACAGTCATCTCCAGTTATAACAAGCTTAGATATTATAACAGGATTTCAGATATATTGAAGTCATATCTCAGGTCCCATCTCATCTCAGGCCTGATAAAACACTGGCTATTAAAGGCGAGCAGTCTTAAAGGCAAGTAGTGCCACTGCGGAAAGTAGAGCAAGTGAATCATCATCTTTCTGTGTGCCAACGTAGACGTTTCAGACAAACTGTATGTATCTGAAAAAACGGAATATTCCTTACGACTTATTTTACAGAATCTATTCACAAATGTTTCAGTCTTTCTTTACTTACAATTATTACATCACTTACATGGATAGTGTCCTCGGTAATGTCAGCCCAGTACAACACATTGCTATGCCAGTCAAAGTCCACCGCAATGGCTGCCTCCAGTGGGATGTCAAAGACCAACTGCTCGTCGCGGTCGGAGTTGAAAAGGTAGCGGTGGATTTCCGTCCGGCGCGCATACAACAAAAACTCCGGCATCTCTGGATGTATGAAGGGAATAAGTTTTGATTTTAAATGCTTCGAACTCAGTGCACGAACCGTAGATGGCACTACATGCACATACTGGTTCGAACATGTAATGACCTATTGACCTTTGTTCTATCTAAACAGTCACAGACAGTCAAACTTTCCATCCACTTCCCCTGCTGTACTTTTAACATTGGCTAGTCACCAACAGTCAGATCATATGCCAAGCAAGCACTGTGACTTGTCAAATTCTGTATGACGTTTGATATGTCTAGACATGCAGATATATGCAAGCCGCGCGCAAGCCAATCAGAGTCGACTTTACTCAATCATGACGCTATTTCATTTCTAAATCAGGACTAAGTTTGATTGGTCAATTCGAATGCAGTGTTTTGTAATACAACAACGGCTGGGCGTGATATCACATAACATGATACAGAGCATGTGACGCATTCCATTGTCTATGACGCGCAACTGGTGAATGACCGAAGACCTGATATAGAAAGCGCCCGCAGATTGGTCAATATCTAGGAGTTCGGGTCTTGCCTTATTAATCAGCGAATCAGTTCACACATTACATAGACTATGATCCAACATGCCTAAAAAAAAAAGAGAAATAATGACAGTTGTCTCTTACCTCTAACGGGACAGGACATCATATCCGCTGCAAATCTATACTCCTCTCCTCCACTGCAGGTGTCACCAGCAACCTTGCGATAACTACCATTAAAAAAATATACAGAAGGGAGGAGTGCAAAATTATTTTTTCCCAATAATTGAAAGTGACAAATGGGATTCGTCACTTTACCAAATCGAAAAACTGAGTTGGCGACAATCCTCAATTTGTGTAATTAGCATACCTGCCCAAAAACGGTGCAATTTGTGTCATGAAATTTGATGGATTGGTCAGACGACATCGTCAACTGTTATAACATCAAAATATCCCAAGATGCTTAAAGGACCTGTTATGGACACATTTGTCTCTTCATCAGCTCGGTTTCAAGCACAGATAATTTCTCAACTGGGTGGTGCTATTGTATAGGATTACTCTGTAAATGCAAGTCAAGCTATACCATTCCTCCCTCCCCTCCCTCCCCCCCCCCCCCCCCCCCCCGCCCGAGTACTGCTATTTGAGTACGAGTACTTTGTTGATCGAGTACAATTTCGACATGTCGAGTACGAGTACTTTGCTGCCCGAGTACGAGTTCAGTCATTTCGAGTACGAGTACTTTGACATTCGAGTACGAGTACTCCAAAAAAAGTACTACAGGAATACTCGAGTACGAGTACCGAGTACGAGTAATACAACACTGGAAAACAATAAAGCCTTACCCCTTTGTGTGTCTGTAGAATGTTCCAGGTGGGCATGGAGTAGGGATCTGGTCGGGATCAGTCGGTACGCTGGGGTCCGGAATGCACTGTGACTCAAACCACCAATCAGACAACTCCATGTATCCAATGTCACTGAATGGACACAAAAAAGCATGCACAATGTTTTCAATCCCGGGACATACCGTTATTTCGTTTTACCGTTTTGCATTTCCTCAAAACAAAAACAGTAAACAAACCATTGACCGTTTTGTCGTTTTACAGTTTTGTAAAACGGTCAAACGGTATTAAGATAAATACGGTTTCTCTGTTTTATGTTTAATAAAATTCATTACAGCATAACGATTAATGATTTTTGTTTTAAAGTTTTACACAAATAACTTTGAAAAACAACAAAACGGTCAGTATGAATACAGACTGTTTTTTTATGTCAGTGTCATATAGTGAGCAGTCCGTGGTGCATAACCTAAATCAAAAAATGGTCGACAGGACTATTGACCGTTTTTCATTGTCATGTTCTTGTAAAACAACACTCTGAAATGCATAACCGTTTATCGCTTTCAACAATCAAGAAAAACAACAAAAAGGTCATTGTTTTTTGTGACCTAATACCGTTTGACCGTTTTACAAAACCTTTAAACGAAAAAAACGGTCAACGGTGCGTTTACTGTTTTTGTTTTTGAGGAAATTCTAAACGGTAAAGCGATATAACGGTATGTCCCGGGATTGTTTTCATTCAGTTCTTTCATTAATTCTATTTTTTTTGTGGAATTTTGATACATTTCTTTTGAAGTCGTTGCAGCGATTTTTGTTCTCATACCAAATCTTTGCTATTTTGAACATTGATGTGTTGCAGACATTAGCACCAGCTAATGTGTGAGGTGAGGACTTGTGATGACATGCGAGGACTAGCGGGGATTTGTTAGGAGTTTGGAGGACTCTTCAGGCCTTTCGAGGGCTGTGACGGTTGTGAGGACTTGTACACACAACTGACTCAACTAAACCATTCATTACTGCAGGTGCAGAACTTGACAGAATGGCTGGGCTTGTGGGGACTTGTGATGACATGTGAGGACTAGCGGGGATTTGTTAGGACTTTGAAGGACTCTTCGGGCCTTTCGAGGGCTGTGGCGTCGTGAGGACTCGTCAATGACTCTACTAAACCACTGATTGAAGCAGGTGCAGAACTTGACAGAATGGCTGGGCTTGTGAGGACGTCTGATTACATGTCAGGATTAGTGGGGGTTTGTGACGGCTTGTGAGGACGAGTGAGAACTTGTGAGGCCTGTTAGAACTTCTGAGGACATGTGATGCATTTTCAATGGGCTTGAGAGGACTTGTGCAATTTAGTTATACCACTCAAAGTCCTCCCTGTCACAGCTGCAGTTCTGGACAGAGATGGGCCGGTCGTAGTTCCGCCCGTTGTAGCAGACAGCATGGGCAATGCGACGTTCGTAAACCATCTTTCGACCCAGCAGACAGGGGGAGTCTGGGAACTCATCTCCCGGGGACCACTGCTTGTAATCGTCCTGAACACAATCCTGTCCTGAAGTCACAAGGTACAAAACGCAATGAGAGGTATTCTTGATGTTGCTAGTATTCGAAGCAACAACGTACCCAAATTGGGCATAGGCAAACCAGCCTTGTTTATACAGGGATTGTTAATTTTTTTTCTATCAAGTCATGTTAATGGCCCATGTTATTCATTTTTGAGCACACCATAAACATTTAAACGGAATATACATTTCGTTTTGCTGTAATATTCAGAAATGGGTGGATTTGGGGGTTATTATTTTATAGCAAATATTGTGACTTCTTTGACGTTTTTTCTTTACCTAAAGCGTCTTTCAGGTCAACCTGCACAATCAACCAGCTGTGGTGTCCTGGGAATGACCCAAACAAAGTGAAGATTGTCGTCTGCTCCCCTGGCTCTGTCATCATTCCATACACGTAAATTTTGGAGAAGTTTCTGGTGAAGACTTCTGTTGTCCAGCTTTCCCCTTCAGTCACGGAATACCTTCAATTGAAAACAAACAATGTGTGACATATGACCAAATTAAGAAAAGCATGAATGCCTTGCTAACAGTTGCTCTACATGTTTGTTGTTGGGTGTTTCACTACTACAGAAAGTTTTAAATCATTTCAATGTACCTTGCCAAAAATATGAGCAAAAGTGTCATTTTGGACGTAACATTGACACCGTATCAATGTTACGTTGAAAAATTTCTGTGAAACATCACCAAAATTCACTTTACGTATTTCTTACTATACTTGCAACACAATAGGAAAAGCTTTTGCTACAGTAGTCAGGTATCAAAAGGAGCAGACATGATAGCTTGATTGTGAGGATGTAACATTGACAAGGTGTAAAACCCAAATGTCACACTTCCATTGAGTGATTTTGACACCGTTACATCCACACTTCAGGTATTGTTTCAGCTATATTTGACCCCTGACTATACCAAAACAAAAGCTTTTCTGAGTGTATTAGGTGTCCAGTTATAAATATGCAATGTCACTTTGGTTAATATTTACATCCGCGTAAAAAATGGCAAAAAAGGAAGATTTGGATGTAACATTGACACGGTGATCCGAATCAATACATTTTTGCTCAAAGCACATTCAAATGATTTCAAACTTTCTAAAGTATTGAAACACCTTAAGACAAATAGTTGAGCAATTGTTTAGAATGCATTGGTACTTTTAATAATGCAACATGTACTGATTCCCAACCCGGTGGAATGACCAATATACAGTGGAATGTCGCTATACCGAACATCATGCTTGGCTCCCAATTTTTGTATACAAAACGTACTGAACATTGTTGTTGACAAATGTCAACAGAAGAGCGACAAGTGGCAATTATTTCTCCAAGCAATAGAAGGGAAGAGCCACCCAGTGCTGTAGGTACAGGAGCTCAAAAACTGTGTAAACATAATTCAATAGTCAGCACGTGTTTAAAAAAAGCGGATTTCAATCAATACCAGGGCGTGCAGGGTGAAGTTCTGAAGGGCGTTATTTTATTGAAAAGTGAGTCCCGGAGCACCAGCAGCTTCAAATCGCTATACCAATCAATCGCTGTAACGAACAATTTCTGTGGACCCCGCGATGTTCGTTACAGCGGCGTTCCACTGTATACATTAAATTAGTCCTTTCTTATACATATTACCAACGTCAAGCACAACTCACTACAAAATGTTCCCAGAAGAAAAGTAATACAACCAGTACGCAAATTAAGATTGTATGTAAATTACAACTGATAAGCAGATTGAGGATTTTATATGCAAATTATGGATTGATATGCAAATAAGGTCAGAGCTGGAGCGTTTTTGTTCTTACTTGACTTCTTCAGTGGATCCATACTGATTCACAGCCATGACCACACCACCATGGTCGCCAAATGCATAAAAGTGCGGCCCATCCAATACCTGGGAAAAAAAACACCAAATATATAGATACTGCAAGTATAAGTAATAAACTACTACCAGACATATGTCTCATTGAGAGATGTGGTCACTCAACTCTCATGTCAAAATGACACCCACCTTGCACCAGGTGGCCTTGGCTGAAGGCTCATAGAGGCCACATGTCAAGCAAGCACTGTGACTAATCTAACTTGGCCTTTAGTCAAGGCCCACGCGTCTTTACGCGGCCACGTGATGGCCCCGGATGCTGGCTCGTAAAAAGACTACCCCGCGAGCGGCTTGAAAAACAAAGCTTTTTCCGAAACCCGTAGGCAGGTTTATGAACAGATCTCTACCTTCCAACACACCTTTAATCACATGGCGTTGTGTTGCGGTTTGAATTTCCCCGAAATGTTTTAGTTTAGAGGCAGCGAAGTCAAAACAGCTGTACATGTAGGTAATTCTGCATTTTCATTGGTCACTGTGCAATGCATTATGCATGAAATTCGTCTACCAAATCAGTAGACAAATATAAAGAAAAACATAAGCGCTCTCTACGAGATGGTAAAGGCCCTCGTGGCTTCGCCGCTCGTGAGGTAGTAATTTACGTGCCAGCATCCGGGGCGCGTCACATGTCCGGGTAAAGACATGTGGGCCTTGACTAAAGGCTAAATCAAACTGGGTCAACAGACAAAGCAGGCAAGTTGTGGTCACAGCTGTTTCATTACTCATCCGGAGTCAAAGCATAGCTGTATCAAGTTACTTTAATAAACAGTCCCAGCCAGTCAATCCTGCTTTAATGTAGACTGGGAATTCTTAACTGTTGAAAACAGTCACTTGTTTGACTGAGGGACTACTTGGCACAGAATGTATGTTTGCACGGGAGGGTTAAAGATACACTGTACCAGGGCCAAGCTGAGGGTAGTTTGTACACATTGAAAACTACATGTACCTTGAACAGCATGGCCTTGTGTGAGGCCGACTTGTCAAAAATAAAGGGCCCACTGAGGTCCCATTGAGGTCATGAAGTCTCATCCCTAACGTCCTAAGGGCTCTTTGGGGGTCTAGTACCAAATACTACAGAATACTACATGTGTTGTGCACACTTGCATGGAAAGAAATGCAGACTACAGGTTACTTCTCATTAGTATTTTGTACCTTAATGTGAGCTTAGGGTTAAGACCAGTGTTGTAGGACTCGAGTCCAGGACTCGGACTCAAGTCGGACTCGAGTCACATTTTTCGTGACTCAGACTCGACTCGAGTCGCATTGGAAAATGACTCGGACTCAGACTCGACCATGACGACTCGGACTCGAGCTTGGTGACTTGTGACTCGAGTGACGTATTTTTATCAAAAGAAACAAACCTAACGTAGGGATGGGAAAGGATCATTGAGGAATAATGTTTGGATGATAAAACATGGAGGGGTGGGATGGAGGATTATTTAGGGGTGGGAATTAAAAGGAAACACATTTTAGGTCTAAACAACATGTACACACACAAAGTAAACTATATACACTGGGATTTACTTAAAGCAAATGGATGGTTGAAAAATAATCTTTAATTTTTTGTTGATTAGTTTGGTGAATAACTAAGAAGTGACTCGTGACTCGGATTCGAACTCGAGGCTTGTGACTCGAGACTCGAACTCGGACTCTAGGCTTGCAACTCGTGACTCGGACTCGAGACTTGTGACTCGGGTCTCGGACTGGACGTTGGTGACTCGACTGCAACACTGGTTAAGACACCCACCTTGTACCAGCTGGCCCCAGCTGACGGTGATCTGTACACATCGAAGGCTGCATCGGAACCCAGAGACTCGCCGGTCTTTCCCATGGCCATGATCATGCCTGGAGCAGATGCCTTGGACAGGATAGGGTTGTACCTTGTGCCTGGGTACAGCTGGCTGAATTTTTGGGACAAGTGCAGCGAGCAAACAGGCTACATGAAGAAAGCATTAATAGTGGACGTGTTAAAGTGGCTATGGACCCTTTTCACAAAGGAGAATATGTATCTTGACATTCGGTTACCATCACTTAACATGTACTTATGTTGGCATTTTGGAACTCTTCATTTTGGAACTTTTATTACTGTTTCCAATAAAATAAATGAGAACGTACTGAACTGAAGAGAAAGTAACCACTGTATTGTCTTAAATCTCCTCCGCCTCACTGGAAGATAGACATTGATTACTTAATGATTGTTTAAGCCTCATAAACAATTGTACTCTAAATCTGAATGGTTAATGAAATTGTATAAAAATAATAATTCCCACTTCTAACTATTGTACATGTATATTTTTTTATCTCATTCTGATTGCAGATCTAGTATCTGCCACATTTTGAATAAGGGAATAAATGTGTGATCCGGAGGTTTTTATCACTCTGTTTAAGACCACTTAGAGTCTGGGTGCTGATAATTACCCGAGCCGGAGGCGAGGGTAATTATCAGCACCCAGACTCTAAGTGGTCTTAAACAGAGTGATAAATACCGACGGAGCACATATTTATTCCCATTCATAAATACCTTTTCGGTAAAAAAAAAATCATATAATTCGTTCAAAACATCCGATTTTGTTCAACAAATTCACTTTATGCTTTTTGAAACATCCCTCTTGCAAAATAATGGAGTGTTCAGCTGGCGAGTAAGATGTAAACAACCCTTTTATGGAGATTGACGCGCGCGTATCATGTTCTGCGCGATGTCCCGCAGAACGCACCTGGCGCGTTGCATTTTGAATTTAGAACTATAAAATTCTGACTCCCTGGTAGTGTTGCGCATGCCTACGTGAGGATTGTGAACGTTCAACCAATGAAACGATAAGAGGCACTGGATTTTTAGGAGTCCACATTTTATTGTGACACTGGAAGTGTTTAAGACCAGCTAGCCATGTCTTTAGTATCCGTTTAAGACCGGCCACGTGACGGGCTCTCGACCAATAGGAATGCGTAAACTGTCTTAGGTATTTATGAATGTCTGATAAAAAAATTGCCATTCACATTTGGCGTAGACACAATCTAAATTTTGAATATTTTTGTGTAAATAAATTTGTATATATATCTGACATATTGCTCTTGGGTCTTCTCATTCTGCATTGCTGTTATCCTTATTTCTGCTTTATACAACACCTGAATAAATCCCCGTCATCTGATTGGTGGATCGTTGATCACATGTCATTGAATTGTTCGTACCAATGCACGGCGCGCGTGGCGCGCAGCACACAGTGCAATGAAAATTTCCATTGCACGGTGAATAGAACTTCTATTGCACGGTGTCACTGCTGCTGGTGGTGGCGCTGTTTTAAATCGAGCTAAATTGAATATGATTGCTCTCAACCTGTTGAACAGTTTGCAATATTAATATAAATATGATGAACTTGTTGAACTTTTAAACAGTTTTTAACCTGAATAAATTGGCTACTAAAAGTCAACCAATCAGATGACAAGGATTTATTCAGGTGTTATATAAAACAAATAATGAATGTTTCACGTTCGTGCAATGGAAAGAAGAATTTCATTACCTTTGCCCCAATGCCTAAAACTGAAAACTTGGTCCCGTGATCAATTTGACCTCTCTTTATAGAAAATTAATCATAACTCTGTCAAAAATTATCAGATTTTGATGTTTATGTCTCATTTTAAAGTGGAATGGTGTATCTTTCAAGCCATACTTAAATTATCTATGTTGGTTAAACATTCTAAGTCTGGCATTCCGCTATTTTGTTTGCATTTTTTTTTGTATACACACTGTTACATACCTAGTGTGGACATTCCATTGCTTTCGTGTAGTTAAGAAAAACCAGTGAAAAAAAAATCATTTTTCTCAAACTGTGAAAACTCTTTTCAACCCAATTTTTTTTTTTCTGTGATTCCCTTTAGTGTTTCTCTTCATTCTGCCACAGATAAACCTAACCCAAAAATGCCTCTAAACCTGTTTTCCAGAAATGGGGAAACACTGTGTGGACTTGCCCAAGTCCACACAACGTCGCCTCTACCTGGTTTATGTGGACCTCTTTTGTTCGGAAGTCCACACAGTGAATGTAATGCCTACCCACTGTATACACACTGTATAATACCCAATGGCTATTGAGGTGTGAAGCCTGCTGAATACAACAGAGTCAATAGCTAGAGAAAGAAAAAAAATAATAATTCACTTCTGAGATAAACATTATCTAGTCTTGGATAATTGTTGAACAACTCACAGGCTGGCAGGAGATCTCAGGATCTCGGGGTTCCAGCAGGTTCCACTCCCCGCCCTTGTCGTAGGTGATGACGCTGACCATGTTCTCCACCTTGAAATCACCGCTGGGCTCCCTGAATTTGGACGCAATGTAGATCCCGCGCAGTCCCTCCACCCAATGCAGCTCAACGAACTCCTCATCAGCAAAGTTGCTGAAAAAGTGCCCCCCAAAAAAGGCACAGTAAGTACCACAAACTGCCTTGACCTCACGAAAGGGTCTTAAAGCTATAGTCCATCATTTGCAGCCATCCGAAAAGTAACTGGCGTAATTATTGTTGGAAAACAAACTTGGTTGAAAGATAGTAAAAGGAACTAAACTCCCTGTGAAATTATTCCTTCTGGGAAGCTGTCATTTTGAAGTAATCAACGAAAGAAGGCATTTCCAATGGTGATTCTTAAGAAGCACCGTAGGAAAATTTAAATTAGTACTTCGTTTTGTTATTCAGCGCAGCGCGCACAAGTATTGGAACGACGCACACATGCGCGCGGTTATTATAATTCGTCGGATCAGTGCGCTACGTCGTGTATGGCTGCAGTTCAAAACAATTCAAAACATGATTCAGTAACTTTTGATTTGAAATTGAGACCTTAGAATGCTGTTTTTTCTCGATATGTACAGCTGAAGCTTAGCTGAAACTTCATCAGGTTAGTTGTTCAGTATCCTTCATTAGATTTTGAACCCTTTTGTTGCTTCAAACGAACAAAATGCACAAATTACAAATGATGGACTATAGCTTTAATAAGCCATTTGTGAATAACCTATACCCTTTGCGAGTTAACTTTGAATAACATCTGGTACACTGACTTGCTCATAATGCTTGGCGGGTCTTAACTTTGAAGTGCCCAGACCAAAGACACTGTTGCTATTTCACATGATTCGGGGTAAGCTCTTGCATAGTTACATAAGAGACGCTCAGCATCAATACATTGTTCACAACGGGTGAGAATGCCACAAACATGACAAAGACCATACCAGACCATTCCAGAGCTGGGGGTTGCTAGCACGAGGCTTGCCCCGAATCACGCAATATAGCCAAAGTCTCTTTGGTCGGGAGACTTCGAAGTTAAAATCTGCCAAGCATTCGAGCTAACTTTCACATTCCATACACCCGTACTTCTTTTGCCCATAAAACGGTTAAACACGAGGGACCCATGCTTTGGAATTCATTTCCTGATAAACTTATAGCCTCTAAAACAGGCATGCAACTGGGAAATCACAAAAAAAGAGGAAACTCACAATTTTCCCAGACTTTGTACAGTGTTTTTCTATTTTCAATGGCACACATGGGAAGTAAAAAAAGAGGAAATCAGCTGATCCGAGGAAAAGTTGCATGCCTGCTAAAAACATTTCGACAGTTAAACGTATTTACAAATCTATTTTGTTAGAAGCTTATAGCTGAATCTCTGCAATGCAATTGTTCATTTAAATCCAGTTAGCGAGCCTACATTGTATATAGCCCATGCCCTTAGGTACTTGTCTGCTTTTGTTTGTTCACATCTGTAAGTTAAACTTAGCTTTTGTAAACAACATGTGCACTGAGCCCTGTTGGTATTTTTGTCTCCCAATCTCATGCCCTCTCTTTTATCTTCTTTCAAGGCTCAATGTACGTGTTTGCTTTATATAGGGACCATTGCTTACAAGCTTTGCTTCTTAATGGATCCCTCTGCAGTATCACTTGTTCGTTAATTGCATCTTTATATATCCATTTATTTATTTATATTACTTTCTATGATTAACTTTTGTTGGATTAATACTGTGGAAATAAATAAACCTGAACCTGAACCTGAAACCTGAACCTGAAAGTCAGGGTACCAGATGTTACTCAAATTTAATTCGCAAACTGCTTATTAGCAGGAGCCTTTGTAACTGTCTACCTACAGTGCTACCTTACAATGCAGTATAACAAAAGGTCTCTATCAGTAAAAGAACCAAGTTACCATTTTAGAACTCTTTATTAGTACCTTAGCCAGGAGTCTTTGCCTGGTCCTTCGGGGCTGTAGTACACAATGTTCTCTAATGACAGTGCATATGAGGTGCCTTGAACCTCACTGATGTATAAGTTGGTCTTGTTGAGGTTGTGGTTGACGCAAACAAAGACTTGACCCTCATCAGTATCTGCTATGTAGTAATCCTGGTCAGTGTGCAAAAGGAGTAAAATGTAGGAGTAAATATAAGGAGTAAAAGCAGGAGGTCGTGGGTTCGAGTCCCATCTCAGTGTTTTTTTCCAACTTTCACTCGGGAGGTAACACACTGAGTATACAGTGTTTATACGTCGGTGAAGGGCAAAACCTTATTTGATTTACATCACCCCGACGCAAAATTCCAGCTAGTCACCAGCAGTCACATCATACGTCAAGCAAGCACTGTGACTAGTCCAACTGGGTCAACAGACAAAGCAGTCAAGTTGTGATCACAGCTGTTTTATCCCTCACCCGAGTCAAAACATTGCTGTATCAAGTTACTTAAACAGTCCCAGCCAGTCAATCCTGCTTGATGTACCGGTAGGTTGGGAATTCTTAACTGTTGAAAACAGTCACTTGTTTGATTTGGGCTGCAAGGACTACCTACTTGGCACATAATGTGTGTTTGCATAGGAGGGTTTAAAGGGAATGTACAACATTGGCTTTTGCTGCAATGTTCAGAAATAAATGGATTGGAGGATTAGTATGTTATATAAAATATTGTTAAACTGACTTGTGTCATGTTTTGGGCTTGTAGATGCTGGAAAAACCAAGAAAACCTTATCATGTTCTTGTAGTCTGGTTCCCTGACCCCACTTAAGATGAACGAAGCAATTTGCTGACTTTGGGGAATTGTAAGGTCAGAGAATCAGTCTGGCAGGCTTGTTCCTCTTCACATGTGTGTAATCAATTGCAAAGAAAATGCGGAATAACTAAATATGAAAAATTAAGAACAGTTTTTGAAAAAAAAAAACAGTTTTCTCCAACGCTGGTCGGTCGACCAGCGTTGGAAAAATACAGTTTTTCTTAAAAATGTCAGCCCACCAGGAGCCACGATTTTAAAGGATTCTTTAGACTGTCAGTCCCTAACAATTTAGTAAGGTATTTCGTGATAATTTGATCATTTCGTTTTTTGATGTTTGCAAATGTTGGTTTTTCCCTTTAACAGGCAAGTAAAACTCAAGGTTTATCTTGAGGTTTAACAATGTTTTACAGGTTACCTCAGGGTTGAACCGTCAGTAACCACAATTAATTTTGCATTCTTACCTATTCAAAGCATCTGCAAAACTTACCTTCCGCTCGAGGTTGGAAGGGAAGATTGCAGATTCAAAGGGTCCTCGTTGGTAGGAAACCAACAGATCAATATTCGGTCTGTCATCTGATGATTGGCTACCGGTACGATCAATCTGTTAAAAAAACAAGACGAATCTTGGGAACCCTTCTTCTACTGAACATCAGGGGGCGTTTTCGAATCCCTGTTCTTGACAACACGCGTGTAACACGAGAACGTGTACTCGAGCTGGTTGTTACGAACGCGCGGGTGCGTGTCGCATCGATATAAAGCAATGCAAATTTGTACTTAGGCCTATTCCAAATGAACGAGGACGACTGTTGCAAAACCGGACATGCGGGGATGAAATTGCAGACCTGAACTATAATGGTATTCTTATTCCAATCATTAGGGTATTAGCAAAAAAAAAACCACAAACAACTTGAGAATCTGCACAGTCCGCCATTTTGTTCAAGCTGCACCTCGCCGAACCCTCCATCAACCGGGGAGTGAAAAAATCGATCCGGGAACGCCCTCTCGGGTCTGTTCGTTACGTTCGAGACCGCTGTTCTCGTGTCGGGTTAACACGAGCGTTGTCAAGAACAGGGATTCGAAAAGAACCATGAATGTTGCCATAAAAACAGCAATATCTGCCATCTAAGGTAAACTTATCGCTGAGCAGAGGTGCCATCCAACTTATTCAAGCCCTACATTGGTGGCCTCGATTAATTGTATTCAAATTGGGAGTGTACTCACATAGGGCCAGATAGCTCAGTTGGTAGAACACTTGTAAATTAAAGTAATCTAGAGAACCTTGGGTCACATCTTGCATGCTCTAGTCAATTTCTTATCTTAGCCATTTATTTAGTAACTGGAACACGGGGCTCCTGTTGGGAAGATCCTTAAGACATGGCCTGTTTGCATGTTTCATGGTCTGTTGTTACATTTCTACCAGAGCCCTACTCTTCTCAAGACGAGGGTAACAAGTAAAGTCTGACACGCGCCAATCAGGCCAATCAGTGTTTATCTTTGGTTTCAGTGGCAAGAAACACCTGAGAATATATCTATTCCCCTGGCTGGGATGCCAGTCCATTACAGATAACTCCCCAGCTAATGTAATTTATACACTTGGGTTGACAGATATGCAAGTGGGGATGAAGTGGCTTGCCGAAGGACACAACATAAGACCAGCAGCTGCATTTCTAACCCCTGACCCTCTGATCATGAGCCAAAAGCCCTAACCATGCCATTTATACACCTTGGTGGAGAGAGGCAAGTGGGATTGAAGTGCCTTGCCCAAGGACACAACATATGACCAGCAGCTGGATATGAACCCCTGACCCTCTGATCATGAGTCACAAGCCTTAACCATGCCATTTATACACCTGGGTGGAGAGAGGTGAGTGGGATTGAATTGCCTTGCCCAATGGCCCAACATATGACCAGCAGCTGGATTTCAACCCCTGACCCTCTGATCATGAGTCAAAAGCCCTAACCATGCCATTTATACACCTGGGTGGAGAGAGGCAAGTGGGATTGAACTGGCTTACCCAAGCGCGCAACATATGACCAGCAGCTTGATTTGAACCCCTGACCCTCTGACCATGAGTCACGAACCCTTAACCACTAGGCCAAATTGCCCTGAACTACTAGGCCACACTCCCCCAGTTCCAGTTAAAGTGTTCCAAAAGACTCACCGGTATGGGGGCGGTCTGCGTTGCAAACATGTACTCGTCCCGCACTTCAAAATCCAGCACATTGCCGATTATCACCTGTGTCTCCCAATCGAAGTCAAAGTAATGCTCCGACATGAGAATGGTGGACAACCCTGTGGGTTCACGTCTCTCTATGTACAGGGTGTCCGGTCTGTCCACCCCTGGTACACCCCTAAAATGAACACACACAAGAAGAACACCCACGACCAATAACCAACAGGTAATAAGAGTAAATACATAGCTGCCCCAGGCAGTACAAATCCGACTTTACCAACAATGTGTTAGAGCTGAAGGTAGAGTGTCTTGCTCAAGAACACTAACATGTACATGTACATAAATACTGCTTTTCACAGGATCTGGGAGTGCTAGGATTATGAAACTTGTTCAATGCTTACCAACTGAACGACCTCACATCACGTTGTATCTGCGTCCAGGTAGCGCCAAAGTTCTCTGACTTATACAGCTAAAAACAAACATGACATCAAACAGACTTTTGAAGTTAGGGTCACGTATTTGAAACTTTCTGAAAATTATATTCTCTTGCCCCTATCATTATTGTTCATACTTTAACGATGCCACCTATTGTCTGATGAAGGAGCAACCGTTTTGCCTGCTGACAAAATACAAAAATGTAAGTGCGCTTTTCATGATACATGTATGTACGGATATAGAATCATGAATAAGCATGAGCTGTAATCACATACAGGTACCGGTGCTCTAGTCTCTATCATTATCATCTATTCCATGGGTAATGTCCTGGTTGGTCTGGTTCAAAGGAATTGCAGCCATCTAGACTGACACGTGCTGCATGCTCTCATGATTATGCATTAGATGTCATGAATATGCACCAGGTGTATTCAAATACTGTCTCAGTTTCATCCATCCAAAGGATGTCCGGGTGGGACTAGTACTTAATAGGGTTGGCAGTTATCTTGATTGACACAAATCGAACTGCTCATAATGAATATGCATTACATCAGATAACACCATGAATATTCATGAGGTGTTATCAAATACTTACTGTCTTGTCCGAATCATCATCATTCATCCCAAGGAGAATGTCTGGGTCGGTCTGGTGCATACTGATGGTTGTCATTGGGGCTGGTGTGTGGAAGTGAGTCCAGGTATGGCCCCCGTCAATGGTCCGAAACACTACATTGTGGATGGTGTCCACAAACAGGTACTGCAAACCAACGCAATGCAATGTAATTCACTACCGTAAGTCTTAGTCCACTTGAGACCGGATTTCAATTTTGTTCCTGTACATGTACAAGTAGTCCTGTAACAAGTACAAGTAACCTGTAACCTTCCCAATCACTGGCAAGCTTGGTCGAGCAGCAGGGTGCTCAAACAAGACGAATCAAATCTAGGTTCGGGAACTTCATGTAAATGTTGAAGTGGTTTTTTTAAAATCGTGTAGATGGTGATATGAATGTTTGTTTTCCTGTGTAGATGGTGGTAAAATCACTTTTTCATCATCCGGATGGTGGTAAGTTGGTTTGTTTTTCACCAAGTATTTATAAGGTGATATACTGTTGTTTTTTTCAGCATGTAGATGGTAATGTGAACATTTGGGTTAGTTTGGCACCATGTAGATGGTGATGTATGTGTATGTTTTTCATCATGTACCTAGGGTTTTTATTTTTCACCATGTAGATGGCGATATGGAGTCTTTGCTTGTACATGTAGATCAAGATTGTATGACTTTCCAACTTCACTGCTGAAGGTAAAGATATTCACTGCAGATAAACCTGTTTGCAACTTATCCTGGACATTCAAATGAATAATTGTATGTTTACAATGTACATTGCATTAGCAACTTTTAACTTTGGTGTTTGTCCAGTTGTAGTGTTTTATAACTGTTTGTTAAATTGTGTAATTGTATTAACGTAACTCCCTACTGTATTTTACTTAGTATCGGACCAAGGCCGCCAAAATCCATCAATCCCACTGCTTCCAATGCATGCTTTGCTTCAGGCCTCCAGGCCCTAGTCCAACTCCATCAATATTTAGTCACACCAGGTCTGCAGGGCCAAGTCCCCCAAAATCCACCAAAATGGGGGGATGGATTTTGATGAAGTTGGGGAGGTAAGGGTTAGTGTTTAATTGTATAAAATATTACTGTTGAATTGTTGTTTTTAAGTTTTTACTGTACAATTTTCAATTTCATACTGTAATTGCATATGCGCATCGGAACATTTTTATGCAATTTGCAAAATGTCAATCTTATTATTATTATCTTCAAGTAAAGTTGAATACTCGATCCTGATTGGTCGATCCATGGCAACAAGTTGGCTACATATAACCATGTAGCACGGCCACGGTCCATACCACACTCCGTTTATTGCACTATTCAAAGATGCAAGCGCCATTCCGTACAACACACACATGTACATGTAATAGGATAACAACTGAAAAGATCGTGTACGGCATACGCCCTTAGTCTTTACTGCGCGCCAAATTTGCTTGAAGGTAAATTAGTGTCCCGCTCGCGTTCGTGGAACACGTAAAATGTAGGGTGTCTGTGTCCCACATAACACTCTGTCGCGCATCACATTATTCCATGTTCCACTCGCGCTCGCGGGATAACTTTAGCATTATTATTATTATTTACAAAAGAGATCACTCTTAAAGAAAGCTCACCCGGTCGACATCTGATGGGATGTGGTAGAACCAGTCAAATATTGCTGGTTGCGCACCGTCTATGTTTAGGCCTTCCTTCTTCTCAAATGTTTGACCGTAATCGTAGGAGAAGTAGACACGGGTGTTGGATGTGCTAGACTGGGTGATTTCTCGGGTTAGGCAGACGATCATGTCGCTACCCGCGCCGGCCCAGTGAACGATGAGCTCCGGATTGCTGTCAATCAGATCGTACTGAAGGGTAGAGTAAAAACATGCGTTAAGGTTAATTAGTCATCAAATAGTTTACATGTACCGGTATGTTCAGTGTTCTCCAACCTGTAAAAATAACCTGGTGCCCCGCCATGCTTTCTGAGGCACCCGCCAAGCTTGAAAAGTTGCCGCCATGCTTTAAAAAAAAGGACAAAATAATAATTTAAAAAAGACAAACAAGTGGGACTACACTTACCCTCCAGGGTATATTTTTGCCAGAAACTCTGCCAAAAGCAATAATTTGCAACACTTCCAATCACATTTTTTTCAACATTACAACTCTGGAGTGTTTTTGCAAAAGGCCCAGTGGTCAATGAGTACTGCAAACTGTACCAGTCATTGAAACAGTATTTCATGCGGCAGCTCACTGATCACTTGTGTTGGCCTGACTGTGAGCTGAATGGGAACTTCAGGTGAAATCGAATATTTTAATCTCTGATTTCTCCCTCCACCAGTATTTACCATATAAATTAAAATACAGAATTTGTGCTAGCTTTTTGTTTGGTTCTGATGATTAATTCGATGTACATTGTCCATGTTCCATGCTAACAGTGTATGCTTTCAAGAGACAAGTACATACATGTGTTGTACATACTAGTATATGGCTCCAAATCCGTAACATCAACTGCATAAATGCATTTAAATACATGTACATGTAAAAATGTACATGTATACACCGGTACTACTATCCAGACACACAATATACTCATGTGTAAATCATTTACAAGTATTCAACATAACAAATTAATCATCAACATCATTATATTCGTTCCCTCAGAAAAATCCACACAACAGACGCACGGTAACCATGGCAATAATGAATCATCTATAGAACTTCAGAATGGCACGTTGGGAAGATGCGGGAGTTCAAACAGCCAACATTCAGATAAAAAAAGATACATGTAAATACATGTGACATACACCTCTTTACATCTAGCGTATGCTACACTGTACAAATGCAGTACATAATGTACAATGTACATATACATGTACAATGTATGCTCAATGACATATTACAAAACAAAATCAAGCCCAAAAAACCCCAAAATAATAACATTTGCCCCGGCTTTACACATTGTAGCCTGAAATCCACAACCAAACGTACAATTTCCAGGGTTGATAAAAATCATGTTTTGGGGGTTTATAAAAAACAAGATTTTTTTTAGATTTCAATCAGATTTTTTTTTTCATTTAAATCAAATTTATTTTATTTTTATCTTGTATCTAAATGAGTAAATACGAAAAGTACATCAAATTTGACTCAAATTGGTTTATTCCACACACATCTGGCTAACTCTGTATAATCTGCACTGTTTTGTTGGAACTCTTAAAGGGAATATACAACATTTGCAAACATCCAAAAATAAAACTACCAAGTTTTTGCAAAATACCTTAATAGGATGTTGGTAAATGACAGTCTAAAGCATCCTGTAAAATTACGGCACCTGGTAACCTGTCATTTTCAAGAAAAGTGGTATTTTTGTATCAATTTCCAACGCTGATCGGCCGATCAGCGTTGGAAACAACTGGCTTTTTTTCAAATACTGGCCCCAATTGACCATTGCACTTGTTTACAATCGATTACAAACCTATGAACGGGTACGAGCAAGCTAGACTAGTTCCCTGACCTTACAATTCCCCAATGTATGTAAACTGCTCTGTTTCTTCTTATATGGAGTCAGGGAACCAGACTACAGGAAAATGATCGTTTTTCTTGGTTTTCATAGCATTTTCGAACCCAAAACCTCCAAAAAGTCAGTGTAACTATATTTGCTTTATATTTCCAACCCCCCAATTCCATCCATTTCTGAAAATTACAGCAAAAGCAAATGATGTATATTCCCTTTAAATCCCCCAAAAGACTTTTTTCTACAAAAGATTCACTCTTAAAAATACATATATTTTCACTATTTTTAAGTGATCTCAATCAATGATTTGAATCAAACAACCCCGAGACTTCTTGTCAATAGTTTCATGACAACAGAGTGTGATACCAAATTTTCAGTAAAAAAAGCGGAAACAAAACCCCCCAAAATGTACTTTATATTAAACAAATATGTAGCACCGAAACTAATAAATGACTGGTAAGCCAATTTCAGAAACTAGGGCCTACATGTAAATGACTTTTAGATGAAAAATTACTGAAATAGCTCAATCCAGTCAGAATTCAACAAATATCACCATGTAAACACAATGACCCTCAAACCCGTTTTGTCTCCCCCCCCCCCCCAAAAAAACCACCAAAATTATTGTGTGTTTGGAACAACAAAGAAAATGACACAGAAAACATACATGTTTCAACAACTGGAGTACACAATATCTTTATTAACAACCCTGCTATTAGGCAAACAGATGATTTATAAAATCCACTTTTGTTTTAAAGTCGGGCCTTCAAAAGGACTTTTTTCAACATTTTTAACTTATAAACTGAGGTTTTATCACTGACGACGATTCTTGAAATAACCATTTTGGACGAAAGAGGTTTTTAGGGTCATTGTGTTTAAATGGTGATATACTTTGAATGGATTGAGCAATTGAAGTATTTTTTCATCTTAAAGAAGATTATGAAATTGGCTTTCCAGTCATTACTATATTTTTGGTGCTACACATTTTTCTGAATATGAAATATATTTTTGGGGTTTGGGTTCCGCTTTCTTTTTTGACTCGCCCTGTAGGCCCCTATATACGTCCTTAAGTATGTACATGTACATGTACATACTCATGGAGAGGTGTAGGAAACATGCATTTCCTACCTCCATTGTATAAACATGTTTGGTGGGCTATATTGTTCAATGACATGTAGGCCTACCAGTGCATGTTTTTATGCACAAACAGGGATAAAAATATCCTCTGGGTCTCTGGACATTGTAAACTTGTCTATATACATTGTAAACTTGTCTAGTGCATTCTTTGCACTAGACCAAGTAAAATATTTGTCCATGTACATGTAATATACATGTACATGCTTCCCATTTTAAAATCAATGCAAGAGAATGTTTTTCTGTACTTGGCTTTACATGTAGGTTTAACTTTTTATGTACACATGTACACATTATTTATTCACACTGCAAATGTGCGCTGGTCTAATAACACATTTCATGCTTCATGTACCGGTACATGTATACCTGTACTGTACTACATGTAGCGCAGTTGCCTAGTGATTTTTTTAAATGAAATTCACACACCGACAAAAAAATGTGTAGCCTGGTGAAAGGGGAGGGTCGTTTTTACCTTGAACATGTTGAAGAGGACCTCTTCACCACAATGTGGACATTTTGAAAAATGGATCTTTTCATGTGTAATAATCAGTTGATTACGCATGAAAAAGCACAATTGCGAGGAAAAAGCAGACCTGCGGTAGGGAGTTATACATATTGTGTACATATAGTTACTAAACTTTCAATACATTGATTGAGGACATAAAAACCGCTACCTTGATAATATTACATGTATAGTAGTTAATGTTTACTGTTGGTGTGTCTGTCATGTCTAGCAGACCAGTACATGTTTCAAATTCATCAGTGTATACTGTAATAATGAGAAAACCTAATGGAGCATTTAATACTCGTATGTACATGCATACATGTACATAAATAGTATGTATACATGTACGCATCTGGTACCAATACCTGAATACAGTCAAACCTTCATAAGAAGAGCACTGTTAATACAAGGTACTGCTTATAACAAGCAATATTTTACGTCCCAAGTCTTTGTTTTTCGTTGTTGTCCGTTACTGTTAATACAACTTGGTACCTGTTATAACAAGGTAATTCGTTAAGTCCCAAGGACCTTGTTATAAAGGTGTTCCACTGTATATTTGGGCAATTGTTATACTCAGTGGCCATATACCGGTACTGAGCTATATTTTGACGCCATATTACACGATCGAGGCACATGTACCGTATTACATTTACATCAACAGGGACCTACGGTACATTTGTGGGTAGTACAGTGTACTTGATATAACACTGGTACCTAACCCGTTAATTAAAGAAACCCAGGTCTCCGCTAAAGAAACTCAACCCAAAAATTTAAATTTTAGAAGTTGCTGTTCAGATTATGCATAAAGGTCCACACGATAGTGACTACTTCCACATCAGTTTATCAATGCAGCACAATACAAGTGTGTACATTGAGCTTTATACCTTTATGGTGAAAACTGCAACTTTCCCGAGCGTCATAAATGTGAAATCAGTTGGTTTTCCATACCTGTGTAGCCTGGTTTTCATTTGAAATTTCCCCACCAATAACATTTTCTTTTTCATTGTCCGAGAAGTTTAAGTAATATTTGTAAAGTTGGTTACGGGTACCCGATCCCATGGAACTGGTTCCTAAAATCAGCAGTAGGGTTCTCGGGTACCCGGTTCGGGTGCAGCCCTGTAATTGTATGTTTCTTCCAGGGCTATGCATTGGAACTGGGTGCCCAACCGTTGGAGCCGGCTCCAGATTATGGGATCGAGTACCATAATCAACTTTACATAAAGTAGGCCTAACTTCTCAGACAATGCAAAGGAAAGGTTTTGAATGTCATTTGTGGTGAATTTTCAAAATAAAAAAAACCGAAAAACATAGGCCTACCAGTATTTTACGATTATGACGCTCGCCGCAGTTTACACCTTAAAGCTATGAATAGGGCTAGTGAACTTTTTTTTCAATGGTTGTATTTGTTTAAGAGATTGCTTTCATTGTAAAGCCCACCCAAAAAGAAAACAAATGATGGTAAAATTGCAAAAATTAAACCATGCAATCCAAAGTTATGGCCAAATATATGTCGATCAAATGACGTTATTTTGTATAGGAAATGTGTACGAAAATGGTGATTTTTTGTGAAATTGAATAAAAAGGCATATTTGAACATCTGTTATGGTGTAAATAAACACTTTGGTAAACTTTAACTTGTTTTTGTCCATTGTTTATCACAAATACTATTGGTTTCAGTTGGTTTTGAGTTGATAAAAAACTTGATGTGCAATAAAATG